GGGGTTTTCGCCTACAAAAGTGAAATTTACACAATTATGCATAGAAATATACTCAATTTCAATTCTAATTAATTTCGAAAAGTGTCGAATAAGTGTGTTTTTACACACTTATCACTTACCCCGTGACAAGGACCAGAAAAATTACTGACCTGCAAGTGAGGGAGGGTGTTGGAAATAAATCCCACATCGCCTGTGGACAATGTTTTGGGCCAGTTTATAAATAATGTGGCAAACCTCTCTTGCTGAACCGATTTTGTGAGATGAGTTAGACCCATAAATTTCTACACAAAACTCGCTATCTATTTATGAAAGTTGTGTACGTGTCAAACGTTTAATTAAAAAATAAATTCAACATAAGGGGATATGTTAGAAACAAAGATTAAATAACTTCTCCTACCTAACAGTGAGGTTCTAGAGAATAGCTGGTTCAATACTTGATCACTCAGCTTCATATGTCATATTCAAAAACGACTGAGATTGATAGGATGTGAGGATCATATGCAAGAATTCATGAGGAAGAATTTGAACTTGGTGTGAAAAATGGCAATGTAGACGGCCTATATATAGCTTTCGACATGGCGATTGCTCATGGAACAATGCATTTTGAAATGTTTGGAACTAAAAGATGGAATTGAAGAGATGAAAATGTGTGGAAACGAAAGGTTGCATACCAACTTTTAGGTCATTTTGAACATTTCAAATTTAAATCTGAACTCAGATCCGTTGGACCACAACTTTTCGCGAAAAGATACACCCTTTGGACCTCGTAATGGTTGAGTTTTCTATGGGAGATACTATTCGAATGAAGGATCACAATGTTTGAGCTTCTAAAATGAAATAGATTCGAATGACAAGTTGACTTGTCTTTGTAGCTTCCAGATGGGGTTAGATTTCTCGAAAATACAGTTCACTAAATAATGTTTGATGAGCAAATTTTTTCCAGCCATTTGATAAACCTGTATAAACCATAGATGCACAATTACTACGAGGCAAAATTCATCCAATTTAAGGTAACATACACAAATCACGAATATTTCATAAGAAAATTCTAAATGCTGATAAAATAACAAATATCTAACCTCTTCAAAGGCTTCTCTTCCTATGCTGGTCAAGAACTTTATCTTCACCTGAAATCTTGTGCCACAGTCTCTTTCTGCTACAAATCCTTCTTGTCCTGTGATACGTGCCAATAAGCTTATGTTTTTTTGGTGCACTGAACACCTGCAACTTGCAGATAAATATCACATAAGAAACATTATAAGAAATCATTATGCTTTTCCTGTTGATGTTAGTCACTGAATGGACTAATGGAAATTGCCGGGAATGAGGTGCTGAGCTCCAATACCTGAAAAAAGACGTGGATTGTCACCCTGTTTTTACTCTGACGATCAAGTTATATGTCTGGGAATTATATACTGTACATGCAAGTAAAATTGTGTAAGAGAGAAATACCTGCTTGGATGCAAAAATCTTAACGACCAGGAAATGAACGAAACTAGAATGCAGCAGTTTTCTGGTGTTGGATCAATCAATCCAAGGAAGACAATAGAATCCCATGTTACCAGAGAGACCTCATTTACAGAGTTCTTGTTCAGTTTGAACATCAAGAATTTTTTAATTGACTGTAAAATTTTGAAGATACTGAAATAAATGAAACGCCCGTAAAAGTACGGATTCAAGAACTGTAGAAAAATAAGACAAATTCCATTTCCAGACTAAGATGGTATACATTGAACAATACGATTTCTTTTTCTCATTTATTCCTGACCCAAACCAAGGAAAGCAAAAATTTCTTCCTCCGCTGGTCTTAGCTGTTCAAATAGTATGTCATTGCTACAGAATCGAGCACAAGTTCAGTCAATATATTGTGTTGAAACCTAATCTGATTAACACACTCAAGAGAAACCTAAATCAATTCAGCTACTTGCATCCCCCTTGATATCTTCAGGAAATTTATGCCATAGAATGAGTTAATCCGTGGCTGGCTCTTGGTAAAATGGCATCTTCATCTAACAACTGCCTATGAAAAGTTCCGATGTGATGATACTAAATGTATGCCAAAAAAATTGGAGCTCCTCAGTGTTAGTCTTAGTTGATGGCACTACTCTCCCATTTTCTCCCGAAAATAGGAGATTACAAAAATCCCTCACTCATACCACAAGTTCACCTCACGTCTTCTATAACTCGGAATACAAAGCAGAGAGGTATGAAAACTGATTTACAATTTACGTACTCTTATATCGATTCTCCCCCTTATGAATTTAATCGTCGCTGGATCTTTGAGGACATAATGCTGCCTTTTTGTAGACATTGATGATGTGAAAGGATATCAATCAGGAGTCAGGACCACTAGAGGAACCTGTGCACCAACCTCAAGCTCAATATTCGGGAACTTCAGTTTCTAATACCATCAGGATGGAACCTACCAATGTCTAGTCCGAGGTATCCAATGCGTCAACAACAGACCATAAATTAGCTAAAGAAAATCTCCACATCAAATAACACAAAAATCTGGCTTCAGTTTGTATGTCGTTAGTTTTATCCCAATTAGAGTGTGGCTTCCCACCTGAACTAGCATAAAAGACTGTCCAATACAAACCACACTAAACCCCTTCCTGCTCATCGCCTTCAAAGCCTTTTTACTTTTTATAAGTACCGGGGAAGAGAACTAAACCATGCAACTAAGAGACTTAAAAGGGAGGTATCCACTAAAGATGGCAATGGGAAAGATGGGAGAATGAAGAAGGTAGCTTATGATTTTTTTTTCATCCTCGCTACCTGGTTTATAGTTGACTGAAGAATAAAACTCATGAGAAGACTCTATTTGTCAACCTTATCTAGCATCGAGTGCTATATAACTTATCTAGCATCGAGTGCTATATAACTTGTCATATAAAAACATGGCCATCGTCTTCCTTGTGCCAATTCATCGACAAAATATACAACTGTAAGAACATTTCAGCACAATTTGCAAGCTGATTATAATGTCATGTTTCCATTTTAAGTTATCAATCGAACTCGCAATACTAGGACAATTTGTTCATGTATTCATTAAAAGGGAAAATGAATTGTGTCTACAATGAATCAAAGAATTACTTTCATGAAATTATTCAATCACATGACGACAACAAGCCATGAAAGAATTGCATCACTAGAACAGACTACAAAAACTCAAGAACACTACAAAACATTCGTGCCTGCAAAATTATGATGTAAGAGCTTGTGAGCAATCTGATCTCGGGCATGCATTGCATTTACTGACCTTACACCATTTTCTGCAATCATTTCATCATCAAAAAGATCAAACTTTAGCTCGGGATTCAATTGCTCGTTACGCATCTCACATATATTATGCAAGACGCAACAAGCTCCAAGGACCACAGGAAGGTCTTGTAGTTTAATCTCTGTTCTCCTCTGCAAGCAGCTCCACCTTGCTTTCAGTCGCATAAATGCATCCCTGGCAACCTTCTGAACCTCATCAATTTTCCCATTAAAAGCATGTTGTGACCAAGTAAGATTCCGATGAGTATAAGGAACCAATATCCAATCCATTAATGGAAAACCCGAATTCCCAGCAACCCAAACATCCTTCATACCCCCCCGATTTGCTCTCTGGAAAAGCGCAGATTTCTCCAAGACCTGATCATCAGTCATTGAACCAGGCCACCCAATGCATATGTCTGTGAAAACTCCCTTTGAATCAACCACTCCTTGAACTGTGATTGAATAAGAAGTCTTTTGATTCCTCTCTGTGTGCCTCTTATTAAAATAAGCCGAAAGATTGTTCTTCGGAGCAATAATTGGAACGTGAGTGGTATAAATTGAACCACCCACATTTGGAATCCCCGATTTAAATTCAAACTTCTCCTTAGTCTCCTTCATCTTGTTTTCATCAGGCCACTGCAGAAACTTAGGCATCAACACACTCTTTATCGCGGAACAAACCTCAAACACCAACTTATGACAAGTTGAAATTCCTAATCCAAAACGCTTCGACACTTCTCGAAGAGCCTCACCAGTGGCCAATCTCCATATACAAACCGCCACGCGTTTGCGAACCGGGATAGCCAAACGAAGCATAGTGTCTTTCTTTGTCACCACAGACTCGAGCTCTTCACAAATCATATCAAATGTAGCTTTACTCATCCGAAATGTCCTTTTGAACTCCTCTTCAGGGAAATCAGGACTGTTAACTTGCTCCCACCATGCATTAGACCGGTTTTTCACCCACAATCTCCGCTGTGCTCCGCCACCCACTATCGTTGTAGAATCGTCCGATGCGGCAGCATCATCATTAGTCTCTACTCGTGCACGCTTTGCGGGAGATGATTGATCAAACTCAAAATCCTTAAAAATATCATTTTTCTGAAAATAATCCGAAAAAAATCCACCCTCGTTCATTTCTTGATCAATTTGCTTAAATTCAAAATCCAAAAATGAATTCGGTTGCATAGAATGCACTGTCTCTGTCGGTATACTCTCCTTTGCTTTCTGGGCTGGTTTATCTTCTTGTTGGTCATCAAAAACCAAAAAATTGGACACAAATTCTTGCTCTGACGATTCGTTACTCTCATCGTTGAAATCAAAAATACCATCATTCCTGTGGCGCTTTTTAGTATTGCTAAGAGGAATACTACTGGGTTCGAAGTCTTGAATGAAATTAAAGAAGGAGAAATCTTCTTGAAATGGGGAAGAAGAGATTTCCATGTAAAAGCTTGTAAATCAGTGAAACTGTCTGAAGAATGAATTGGATGGAATTGAGATGTGAACACAAGAAAGCTTGAATGGGAGATGGAGCTGATGGATTTTGCATATATATAGACATGTATATTCACGAGGTTGTGTAGGTTAAGGAAGCGTGTGACGCGCTGTTTAGGAAGGTTCTTGGGCAGCAGGTGACGACGACTGGGGAGGTGGGAGGTGGGTGTGAATTTTATAATGATTGATTTACGCGTCGAGGGGTTTGAAGTTGAACAGAGGCACGTTTGGGAATTAAGGAAGTCGACCAGCTTTTTCGTCAAAAAGAGGAAATAAAACACGTTTATCTGTTATCTCTATCTGATTTATGTTTTTTTTTTTTTGTCAATTATAAATTATTTATTAATAATCCCGTGTTAGCTCCATTTTTATGAAAAATGAGTTTGTAATAGTTAATTTTTTAAGAATATGTAATTTAAAAATATGACAATATTTATATATAAAATTATTTTATTGAGAAAATATTTTAGTTAAAAATGAATTTTTTAAAAAATAGATTTTTAGAAAATGAAACTTAAACAAGAACTAAGCTCCTGCTTGATAAGCATTATTTGAAAATTCTTTTTTCTATATACTCATTTTCAACTATATATTAACACAATAAAATCCATGTTTGGCAAACAATATTTTCAAATTCTTTTTTTTACACTCTTTTTAACAATACATTCATATAATAAAATATTCTGTGCGTAAACTCGAAACTTATTCCTACTTTTTAACTACGTATTCTTCTAAATATCACTATTCAAAACTCTATTTTTCACAAATAATGATTGTCAAACAAATATAAAATGTTCTGCACGCAAATTCAAAAAAAAAAAAATCTATTTTTTAATCACATATTTTCTAAAAATTACTCAAAATATTATTTTGATCAAATAATGAACATCGGACTTTAGCAAGTCTTTGAACCTTTTTGTTAGAAAACTTATTATCTATATAATAAAAATAATGTGTCAAGTCTAATTATTATATTAGGAAAAGTTGAACTATATGATTCCGTTTGATTGTAAGAATGGAATTTGGGTGGAAAGAAAATGAATTCTAGGGAATTGATTTGCCTATATCTTATTTTACTGAGAATTGTTAATTAATTGTGTTTGATTGATATAATTTTTCACTTGGAAAATATTGAATTTTTGGATCTTTGGTATTCGTTTGGTTTTGTTTTTCATGAAAATTGTCCATTAAAGAGATATAATTTGTACAATTTGGGATAAAATTTGTTTTCAAAAAAAAAAAAATGGTCTAGAAAAGCTTTCCCCACCGAATTCATGGGAAAAGTTTTTCCTCAAAAACCAAGAAAATGTGGAAACCCAATTTCATGAAAAATTTAGTCAATCAAACATGCAAAAAGATGGAAATAGATTTTAATTTCCATCTTCCATGAAAAATTTTCCCCAATCAAACAGGGTTTAGTCAATCAAACATGCAAAAAAATGGAAATAGATTTTAATTTCCATCTTCCATGAAAAATTTTCCCCAATCAAACAGGGCCTATATGATTTATTCCACTACTTCGATAAAATCACACGAAATTAGGCATGATCGTTATTTTATAATTTTACGAATCATGCACCTCTTGAAAAACTTTACAATAGCAATTATCTCCATTGCTTCTCCCCTCCCCTTTCTCTCTCTCAATTAGCCCCCACCACTTCCTACGACTCTTATCATCACCACAATCATCTTCCTTGATGCCTATCTCATGCCTTCTTTCCTAAGCATAATTACCGTGGTTAATCCTTATCCAAAGACACTAGTTATCCACCGCCTACGTCGTTCCTTCCCAAACCTTAGAACCACTATCAGTTTCAATTCATTGAAATCCAAATTTGTTTTCCTCCCTCTATCGGTATCTATATTTTAAATTTTCAAATCTAGAAAGTATTACGTGTAAATTGTATGATGGTGGGAGCAAGGTAATAGTTGAGTTGGTGGTGGTGGTGGTGGTGGTGGTCGAATGAAGTTTAGATGTTTAATTTTTATGGTGACATTCGAGATAAATCTTTCTTATTTTTAGTGATTTGTGGCTGATGGTTACTGATTATATGGTGGTTCATGGCAAGTGTCAATGGTGGTGATGGCGTGACATCAATGGTGGTGGATGATGGTCGTGTGTAAATTAACAAATTACAATATATAAAAACCACACACAACAATTGACTATATATAACTTTTTTTGTATTTATGCGATGATTGTTGGTGATGACTATTGGTGGTACACGGGGTTGCGATAACATTGATGGTGGTGGTATGTTAATAAGTTGTAATACAAAAAAATTACATGTCATGTACAAAAAATTCTCGTATTGATGTAGTTGCAGTGATGATGATGACAGTTGTGAAATTACAGGGTAACTAGTTTTAAAAAAAAAACACACGTTGCAGCAACAATAACATGTAGTATAAGTTCCAAATAATAATTAAAAAAAAAACTGTATATGTTACACCCTAGCATGATTTAAATGCAAGTTAACATAGAGTACAAGTTACGATCACGAATTCGATATTACACAGCGACGACTTTCATAGATTATGCTTGACCTCCGATGACTCTTCACAGATTACGTAGGTGGCGGTGTGCAACGAAGCTGTTTCGTGCAATGACATGATGCACGATGTCGTTGTGGTTGCACCTCGCCACGATGTTGTTCGGCGGCAGTTCAACAGCATTGCCATGCGTATAAGCACCCATCGTCGTTGGGACCTCGGTGATGGGTTTATTTCTAATCTACCTCTATGTGTTCTTCATATTGTTTACTGTTGTGTTAGAGATTGTTGGTGTGACATGGGTGGTGGTGATGATGGTTATTGGTTCGGGCGGTGATGGTAAGGTTGCGGTGGTGACGATGATTGTTGGTGCAAGTGGTGGAGGATGGCGATCTATGGTGTATGCGTGCTGATTTGTGTAAATTCTGCGTAGTTGATTATGTGAAGGTAGTGCAAGTGGTGCTTCATTGGAGTAGTAGTGGTGCTGATGGCGGTGGTGATGATGGTGTTTCGTTGGAGTCGTAGTGGTGCTCATCGCCGCTGATGCGCACCTCTGGTTTTTTATCTGAATCTGATTTTTTGCGTGGTTGTTGTGAATCTTGTGATGTTGGTTGCGATTGTGATGTGACAATTATGGTAAAGTGGTGGTGCAACGGTATGTGGGTGGGATGACATAGGGTGGGGATGTTTGTAACAAATTATTTAGTTGATTGTGACAAATAAATTAGTTAATTTGTAACTAATAAATAATATGTGATCAACTATTTGAAATTGTGATCAATAGATAATATGTGATTCAAAAATTTGAATCGTGACTTATAAAATTTGTGATTTGTAACCTAATATTAAATTGTGATTTATAAAAGTTTTTGATTTTGTGATCGATAAATAAATTGTAACTTATTTATTTGTGATCGAGAAGCAATTTGTGACATATATTTTTTTTTTCTATGGTCGAAAAATAATTTGTAACCAACTAATTCAATAATTCGTGACCAAATTATATAGATTTGTGACCTTATTATATTTAATTAAAAATTTATATATTTAATTAATTATTTCATAACTAAAATTTAATATTATCTAATTTTTGAAATTTGAAATTTTATTTCTTAGTTTGAAACTGGCTATAGTTAAACTCTTAGGTATGAATTTTTATCATATTTTATTACACGGATGTATTGTTGAAAATAAACATGTAAAAAAACAAAATCTGAAAGAACGAGACACAAGTTCGGGCCTAATAGGTTGCTGATTAGAGTTGACTAGTAAGCAATGCTATTAAGCCCATGTTTGATAGCAATTAAAATTTAGATTTTAATTTAAGTTAAATTTAACCACACATTTTATTGATTCCACAATTTTTCAGTCACATATTTCATCAACTGTTATCAAAATCTACTAAAAATATAATTTTAATTTCCACTAAGAGTTTGTTTGGGAGGGATTTTAATCCAATTAAAATTGAAAATATAGCTGTTATTGAGTCTCACTCGTCTAATAAAAGTCAACAATAACGATTAGTTTTTCAATTTTAATTCGATTTTAATCTCTACAAGATAAGCTCTAAATGGGGTTAAGTGTCAAATCTGACTTCACAGTAAAAAATTAATAATACCCACACATGTTTTATAGAGCAATAATTTACTGATGGACCAGTAATAATAACAAAATAATGTCTTATTTTATATTTTATGTAAAACATGCAAATATAGTTTACGCAATTTATAAGCCAAAATACAAGGGGAGATTCTTCCACCATTCATTTCATTTGTTTTTTCACATTTTATAACACGCGAGAATATTACCTAGTTTATCCCTAGTTTATACATGCTCGAATCCCGATCCTTCTAGCATCAGAATATGAAATTGTGATATCCCAAATGTATAGCCCCCCTTGAAGGCCATTATTTTGAGAAAATTGGGTTTTTAATAGTGATTTTTCAGAGAAAATATTTGAATTTACGTGTAAAATATTTCATCATATAAATTTGTAGTTAAAAATAAGTATAAGAATTAATTTTTAAATAATGGTTGTCAAACATGGACATAATGTGACAAAGAATCTCGTCTTATAAATGTTTACATAGATGAATAGATTATGTCATTTGTACATTGATTTTGTACACCATTGACGTTTTGCTTTGTTGTCAACAAATGAGTAGATAGGAAAAAATTTGATTTTTCAAATAGTCCAATTACATAATGTCATGTGACAGAGTGCAATGAATAATGCAAACAACGATGTACACCAAGTATGATTGATTGATTGTAGATAAATAGCATGTTCATCCTCCTTGATCTAATTTCCAAATAATGTCTCTATTTGGTAGGAATTAAAATCTAAGTTAAATTCAACAATTAATTTTAAATAAGTATTTCACGAGTTTCAAAATTTCTTATCCAAGTATTTTGTCAACTTTTGTCAAGATATGTAAGCGCAATTCACTCATACATACTCAGAAACCTGAACAAGCTAACAAAATAATGATATGATTGATGTACATTCCTTATAATAAATATGCAAAACTGTTTTAGGGTGTGTTTGAACCACATTATTTTGAAAGAATGTATTCTGGAATAGTAGATTGATGGAGAATTTGTGGTTGAAAAAGAAGGAAAGGTTATTGATGTGATGAAAAATATTATTTTATTGAAAAATGTGTGGTTAAAAATGAGTAGAAGAATGAGAATGAAAATTTTAATGTGTACCAAACATGGACTTATTAAAAAAAGTTGACATTGGAGATGCAATGGAAGAAAATGAGTTTTAAACTATCTTTACCAAATGTTGGCAAAATATAAGCCCATGCTTGGTCGGAATTAAAATTTACATTTTAATTAAACGTCAAAGTTAATAGTTGATTTTAACTACATGTTTCATGAAATTCACAATTTTTAAATCGCATATTTATCAATATTATCAGTAATTATTAAAATCTGATTTTAATTCTAACCAAGGGCTTAAAAGCAGGAGCAAAAGTTATTATTATTATTATTAAAAGAATAATACTATTTATACATAATGATTTACATACAGATGAGATATCAAAATGAGGGTGAATAATTTTGTATTATTATTCGGTTGAAAATTTTCGATCCCATCATATTTGACTATATCATGTATATGTAAATCATTAGATAAATTACTATATACATGTAATAGAATCGTGTTTTTTAAACATTCATCATTGTCACTTAAATGCTTCAATAATCACTCAAGTTATATTATAACCGTGGAATAGTCACCAAACTCCAAATTATAAGCTCATGTCTGGCACTCATTCTCATTCTTCATTTCAATTACACAATTTCTAAATAAAATAATATTATATACAAATATAAAATTTTTCATCACTTTTCATCGTATATTCTCGCATCAATCACTATTCTAAAATTTTTCATATCATTAAAATGGGTATCAAACACTCACACTGAACTTTGTTCATTTGTACTGTGTTCATGGTTCACAAAATTCCATTTCGCTCATTTGATGAGAAATCTCACTTTACGAGTTATGATAGTTAAAAAAATTATAACCTAGCCAAATTATCCACTAAAATATTTCATTACTCATCTAACTTCTACTATGGGTACAATTTACTTATCAAACTTCAGAATGGATGGAGTGCAAATTAAGGGCTTGTTTGCTTCAGATTTTTTCTCCATTTTCAACAGAATTCTAGCAGTTGGAGCACAAATAACAATGGAACACGTGAGATGGTGGGTCCCATTCAACGGCTACAATTCTGCTAAAAATCTGCTGAAAATCTGGAGCAAACAAGTTCTAATAAATTTGTGCGCCACATTATTTTGGAATAGTAAATCGATGGAGAATGTGTGTTTGAAAAAGAATGAAAAGTTATTGATATGATAAAAAATATTACTTTATTAAATAATGTACGGTTAAAAATGAACGGAAGAATGAGAACAAAAATTTTAACGCCAACCGCTTTGACATTTGTGTGATTATTGAAACGTTCAACTCCAAACCCCTCCGATCGATTGATTTAAGCACTCTTTGACTCATTTTTCTAACAAGCAATCTGGAGCTCAAAAGAGAACCTCCACAGTTCAGCAATGGGAGTGGAACAAATGGACTGCAGAAACTGGGACGAAGAAGCTTATAGAGATTCCATTTTACAGGAAAGAGAAACCCTTTCCCCGAACCACTTTCCGCACCGCCTTCGCCCCGACCCGTAACCCGAACCCGAACTCCGACATCATCGTCACCGCCTCAAACGACGGCTCCGTCGGCTCTTACTCCATCTCCTCTTGCCTTGTAACTTTCCTTGCCTTTCATTTATATGTTTTTTTTCGTAATGTTAAGCGACTTAAGATTTGATTCTACTGTCTTTTTATCTATTTATTTATTTTTTCCGTGGTAGGCATTGGATTGTGGAAATGCGAGAGGTCAGAAGTAAGTTTGCATGCTTTAGTTTTTTTGTGTTTCATATATTTACTTGTTTATTTTGTGTATATACTGGGCTTTTTGGCCTGTGAATTGTGATTGATGAGATGATTTTTGTGAAGTTGGTTAGTGGCTGAACCCCATTGTTTGATTCAAGGGCACAACGGACCTGCCTATGATGTTAAATTTAGCGGTAACGACGAGGATTCATTGTTATTGAGGTATTAATTGGTGGATTACAAGTTCTGACTAGTTTTATGGCAATGATGGCTGGACTCCAAGACAGTGACTTTCTTGTCACTAAATTTATTAAAAGAATTTAGAGTATTATTGTGCTGGCTGAAGCGTTTGTTTACATTGATCTGCATTATGTAGCTGTGGCGATGATGGTAAGATCCGAGGATGGAAATGGAAAGAAATTCTAGAATGCGAGGTGCCTATGCAAGGTATGTGGTTCTTAGACGAGTGACAAACATTTATAAATTAATTAGCCTCCATCTGGGAAGAATTTATAATCGGCTTATTTTATAGATAGCTAGAAATGAGTGGTAGATAAGTGGATAATACTCGTTGGTCAATTGGAACACATGGTTGAAAATGAAGCTTGATCATTTATAAATGCTTTTCCTTTCTGTTTAAAGCATTGTTGGAGCTTTTGTTCGCTTGCCCTTGGTCAGATGATGATATTTGATAGAATAGATCGTAGTTGTATCTTTCAGCCTCTAGTATCAAGTTATTTCTCTCTGTTTTCGCTTATAACATTCTGTTTTAAGTAGAAATTATGTAGTTGCATTGAGAGAAAATCTTTACTTGAACTTATATTCTTGCGTTTAATTTGTTCTACAATCATAATTTTGCAGGAGCCAAGCTGAAGCCAGTACTTGATTTGGTGAATCCCCAACATAAGTTAGTCCCAAAGTTTGAGATGTAGCATGGCTCTGTAACCCTTAAAGCTTTCTTTTGATTTGCCCCAATCCAACTCTTTATGTTAGATACACTTATATTTCATGTCTGGTAATCATCACAATCTTATGTATTTATGAAAAGCCTAATAGATCTTGATATAAGGGTGTCAACATCGAATTTATTACTGTTTACTCTATAAGGCATGTACCTATATGGTGGTGGCTTTTCCTCGTATTCTTCTGTATGCTTTCCTTGGTTCCTTAGTGTTAGGTCCCGTGTTACATGTTGACCTTTTATTTTGGTTCTTTTTTATGATTTGTTCTTGTCTTTCAGAGGTTCTTGGGGTGCACTATCTCCAATTCCAGAAAACAATGCAATTGCAGTTGATTCTCAGGTTTGTGACTTCTACTGCTGTGTACTATCTATCAGGCTGTTCTTTATTTATGTTATTGAAGATCTTACCAGAATATGAGTGACATTAGGAAGTGCTACATCCTTGAGCTTCTTCTACGATCCTTTTGGATGCTCTAAGTAATGCATAAGTATGTACTCCCTCATCTTAATGACCCTAGGTAATTTACAATAGTCTGAGATTTGTATATTGAGCATCAACAGAATCAATCCAATTTTTCACATATGCTATAGCTGAATAGAAAATTGGACTGACACAGTAGAATTTGGCATCTTCATGAAAGGGTAAATATGATAGGATATCCATCAACAGGATAAATCAGAGAGTTTAGAAGAAATATTTTCATATCGAGTTATGCTCATAACCATTTGAATCCCTGTCAAGCGAACTGTGCGCACAAATTATAGAGTTAGAAAAATATTATTGTGCCCAATTTATGCCAGTTGGGCCCTCGTAAGTGAACCATATGGAAGAAATCAGATTTCAGAAGAAATATGCTGTGCTAGTTATGCTCATAATTCTTGATCCTTGCCTAATAAGAGTGTTGGGAATAAGGCATGAAATTATTTATGCTTGCTATCTGCCCTACAATTACTAGCTGAAACTCTTATTGTTATTGATATAACCTGTGATTTCTTTGTTGACTTCATTTTAAATTCTTAATTTATCAGTGTACATTATTTCATTTTTTTCATTGTTTTTAGGGTGGATCTATATATGCAACTGCTGTTGATTCTTGAGCATATTGCTGGGATGTGGTAATATTAGCTGAAGATGACTAACTTTTACGAACACATTTTACTTGAGTTTGTGTGCTGTATTAGGTTCATGTTGTGATCCAATCCCCCATCCCACCCCACCCCCAAAAAAAATGAAGAAAAAAAAAATGAAAATGGAAATGGGAAAAAATGCCCATCCACCTAGCACACAGATGAAGAAAGAAAGGAACATAAAAGAAAAGAGAAGAAAACATCAACATTTGATACCTGATTTTTGTTGTGTCACTTCAGGAGAAGTCTGAAATCAAGATGGTTTTCAAGGGACACTCGAACTATTTACACTGTCTTGTTGCCCTCAACTTGTGCAATCAGGTCCACCTTTCTTCCTCTTTATCTCAGTACTTTTCTTAGGTTGCATGTCTCCTAGGCGAATGCTAGTTGACTTGTAATTTGACTTCCCTTCCCTATCAGACTTTAGTTTTATGAATTGCATTGATTGATGAAGACATGTAGTTCTAGTGGCTTTTCTTCAAAATCTTGGGATCCCTCCTTCCCAATCCTTTTACCTCGCGGGTAATGATATAATGCATTGATTTAAATAGATTAGTTATTGAAATTCCTAAGAATTTAAGTACTTACGGACTCATGAACTAAGTCTAGAAGCACTATGAAATCTAAACTGTTTGCCCTCAGAAAGGAGATGGGGATGAACAGAAGGAGTCCTGTATATATTTCAATTGTCTTCATGATTTATATGTTTGTGGTTCATTCTTCTTTTCAACTCTTTTTTGGTTACTTTCAGATCATAGCTGGTTCAGAAGATGGCACAGCCCGGATATGGGGTAATCTAATTTATTGCAAGAGCATGAAAGCAGCACTATTTTTACCAATTGAACATCTTGCATGTTGCTTTTGGTTTCGTCTTCTAGTTGCCGAGTTGTCTTGTTGACCACCTTAACCTTATCTTTCCTACCCTTTCATTGCACTTGATTGTATCGTATGATCTGCAGATTGCAGAAGTGGAAAGTGTATCCAAGTAATTGATCCAGGAAAGGATAAGACATCAAAAGAATCAGTTCCATGTGTCAGTTGCATTGCTCTTGATTCAAGTGAGAGCTGGTTGGTAAGAGAACATGCAATGAAAATGTTATGCTGTAACTGATTATTTTTATACTTCAATTGGTTTTTTCCTCTTGCATGGTTAATCACATCTTTGCAAGCTATTTTTCTTTTATACATGAAAATTTAGTTTCAATCTTGGTTACTAAACATTTGTCTTCATAGATGTGGTCAAAAGTTTTACTTCTGCTGAAGCATGATAAATGGCATATATGTCCTCTTTTGTTGACGAACAATTCCTTGGAATCTTAATAGTTAAGAATGGCTCTTTTTTATTTATCCTTGGTGAGTTTTGGCATAAATGTCAATGACCCCGCTGGAAAGTGGAAGCATATGAAATGAGCAATCAAGCCTCCACTCCACACACTCCTGTTACAGTGTGTGGATTGTGTTGAATGTTAGCTGTATTCTCCTGCATCAGACGAGGTGTTTGTCCTTGTACGACTATGCTATGAACTTCATTATCAATTTCTCTTTCACAACTGATTCGAAATTACCAAGACTACATCATTAAATTATCATATTCTAGGATAATGATAATGTTAGTAAACACATAAAAGAATTCAATTAAGAGTAAAATAGAAGGAAACAGAACTATTTAAAATCCAAAAGCAAAAAACAGAATCTAAAACCCCCTGAAAAAGAAGGTAGAAAAATAATGAGAAGATGATGGAAAGGAAGCTAGGTGGAAATTAGATAATTAGTATGAATGCAACATTTGGATATGTCTTTTCAATGATAAACAGGAGAACAAAAAACAAAAAGATATCCAAAAGAAAGACCCAAAGAGAGTAGAAAAGATTAGAGAAATATAAATAAAAAGTAAGGGAAACCAAAATGGAAACTCAAAGAATATGGGAGAAGAAAAGGTTGAAGAAACCCCTCTCCCAAATCTCTCTAAGTGAACAGGACACACGTCCACCAGAAGGAAACCCCAGCCTCCAGCCATTTTGACTCCCCACCCCCATCAATCTCCATGCAGCGAACACCTGACCTTGTCCCCAACCCCAAAGCCAGCAAGCATCCATCCGTGGGACCAAAACTCAATTATCAACCATTAAAAGATTCTAAGCCTCTGTTTGACACAAATTCTTTAAAAATTCTTTCTTTCAAAAACTCATTTTCAACCATATATTTTTCAATAAAATAATATTTTCCATCACATCAATAACTTTTCCTTACTTTTTAACCACATATTTTCCATCGTATCACTATTTAAATTACATTATTTTCTCAATAATATCCATCAGATACACCCTAAATTTCTAATATCTTTAGTCAACTATTAATATCTTGTGTTGATGCTAAATGGTAGCTCCAATATGATGCTGGGGTTTGTTAGGTGGGTAGGGTTGCAATGGTGGCACGATGAGGCCTTTGATTTTTGCTCGGGGTTGGGCCATGGCCAGTGGGTGGGGTTAAGTTTAAGGAGCGAGGAAGATGGACCATGGCTGTGGAAAAATGGAGCCTGGAGCGTCCTTTTTGGTATTTGCTATATTTTGTAGACTCAAAATATTCCACTATGCACCAACTGCCTGACTAGTAGCCCCCATGATCCTGGAACATTCTGAGTATTGTCTTTAAATTTAAGCATCACAAGTTAAACATGGTCTTTATGGGGTTTGGTCTTTGATAATATCTCTTTTGTTTTTTTATTTTTCACTTTGTCTATTGCAATCTATTCTCTCTGGTCACAATCATCTCAGATGTCTGTTTATATGTATAAATGAAACTAATTTCCTTCTTATAAATGTAAGAAGGCTGTCTGACTTTATATTATGATAATATTTATTCATAGGCTTGTGGAAAGGGCCGGTCTTTATCACTTTGGAACCTTTCATTTTATGAAAGCATTTCAATGATCAGAACAAATTCATCAATCCAAGATGTTATATTTGATGATAATCAAGTAAGTTCTTTCATTTCCTCCGACTTTTCTCATTAGTTGCTCAAGTGATACTGTAGATAAATAGGTTGTTTGACGAATAATGTATATATGTTGAATTAATTCTCTCCCCTTTCCTCTTTTGATTGGCAGTTCTTGAAGCAGTGAACTTTGTAAAATCACACACGATTCATAAGCAATGAGCATGCTCCGATATTGATTATAAAGCGAGTCCACTAACTTTTGATTTTGACTGCTTTCACTTCTTAAAATATTCTTTGTAAATGAGCAAGATGTGTGTAATTATTGGCAATATGGGATGGGGACTTGGATTTGGCGGGAGCCACTTCCTATATTTTCATCCATTCCATCTGCACATTTCATTTCCTGATTTTTGAGAAATTCTTTTACTCCTGTGCCCCGACCTCTACTTTATGCCCTATAAATCTTCCGATTTTACACTTTTGATTCTTTATTTTTTGCACTAGCCTCATTTATCTTGAAACATTTTGTTATTTCGTCAGATTTTAGCAGTTGGTACTGCACCATCACTTACTCGATTTGACATGAAAGGAGATATTCTTTCACAGATACATTGTGCTCCTCAATCTGTGTTTTCTGTTTCTCTGCATCCTTCCGGGGTAAGTTTTTACTTCAGTACAGTATTTCCTCCTTGTTAGCCATTTTTCAATCCCATGCTTTTGATTGTGTTACCCTTCCTAGTCAGCTGGTTAAAATATCGAATTATGCTAGATGTACACTCTCAATGACTTCCCTCTACGTGGAGGGAATCTGTATAACGACGTGATGCGTGTCTTCATAATCAATGGTGTAAATCATGCCACACAGTAAAGTGTAAAACAAAGTGTAAAATAAAGTGTATATGTAGCATGGTTGTAAAACACCAGACGTTTACTCTACATGGCCCCTGGAGCCAATTGAAACCATTATCTTATAAGAAATATAAAAATTCGCTTGACTGTCATTTCCTATTTATAAATACTTGTTAGTGATTTTGTCCTAATAGATGAGTTCTGGTAGTCGCCCTAACTTTTGAAGGACACATCTTGATGCCCTAATAGGAACTAGATAGTCAATACTAGACACCCCCCTACCCGACAAACTCGATACCTGCGAGGCCCCGTCCCGAACGGGACGGGGATAACCTGCTTAATCGGTATTCGTGGCGGGGACGGGGCGGGTTAGGGGTGGGGATGGGCCCCCGTCCCGTTAATTTTTTTTTCTGTAGAATTCAATACTTTAAATGAAAATGTTCACAAAATTTCATTAGTTGCTAATAGAAAATAGCAACTAAAATTATTTGCCCAAATCTAATGAATATGAGCAATAAAAATAAATTATCAAAAAAAAAAAAAAATTTAAACGGGTAGTAGTCGGGGCAAGGGCCCCGCCCCGACCCCGCCTTAAACGGGAAACGGGGCGAGGACGGCCCCCCCGCCCCTGCCCCGTTGCCATCCCTAGGAGAAAGGAAGGTGGCAACAGGCATAACAAGAACATGTTATGTAAATCTGTCTTCTTCTTCTTCTTCTTGTTTCAGGTTGTACAGATGTGTAAATTGCTTTTCATTTAGCCCTTGTTTGACAACCATTATTGGGAAAAAACAATGTTTTGAATAGTGATTTTTAGGAGAATGTGGTTAAAAGTAGGAAAATTTTTTGGATTTACGTGCATAATACTTTATTGTGTGAATGTGTGGTTGAAAATTAGAGTAGAAAAAATAGTTCTCAAATAATGATTGTTAAACAGGAGCTTATTGTATTATTTTACGAACAAATTATAATTACATGACACAATTTCAAGCTGTACTTATTGACAAAGGAGCAATATGTGAATTTGATGATTTTTTCTTCCAGTTTACCGCCGTGTCTGGTTATGGAGGACTTGTAGACATCATATCACAGTTTGGAAGCCACCTATGTACATTCCGTGGCAAAAGTCTACAAGTGGAGTCTCATTGTGGCCGGAGACAGATGAATTGTGGCTTCCTGGTATATGCATAGACAAGCTAGTGAATACTTGAAGAAGTGATAGTTTCCAGACAACAGTTGTTTGTCCTTTGCTTGATCTTGTCTGATATTGCTCGATGAAAATTTCTTACTGCATTTACATATATTTTTAGCTTCAAGTAAGCTTATGAATGCTGCTTTGCAGGATTATTTCAGTTACACTGTGAGATGCAGCAGTGCTATTTTTGAATGTAAGATATTGTCATACATGTCAAAGATTTATGTATTTATTTATTTTTATCACAATATTGAGACGTGACAATTAATAGATCATAAACTTTATTATCACAACTTCGATTGAATCAACCGAAGGATGGGGATGGCTTGGGCTAGTAATTAGTTATTATACACGACTTTTTACTTTTTATCTAATTTCTGATTCGACATTATATTCCCACCATATTATTTATAAATGCACTATATTTTAATTGCATTAATTTATATCCCTAATTTTTCGTCCTGTTTTACTCTTAACTCGATTATTACATCTAATTTTAATGAGAGTCTTGGTTTAAAAATTCTATTTAGTCGTAATTTTTATATTTATTGTTCTTTATATTTAAAAAATGTGACGTCAATATATTAAAGCTCTGAAAAATTGTCTTTAATGCGTGCTTTTTTATTTGGGATTTTTCTTGGACAGGATGCTGATGAAATTTTTATGCTATTGGGATTCATGATAAAAAGAAGAGATGCATGAAATTTTTTTTGGCATTATTGAGTCTTGAGAAATACTTCTATTTTAATTTTATTTGTAAATTAAGTATTTGAATTGTTTAGTCCCTATTTCGTGTAGTTAAAAATCAAATAGTCAGTAGATTTTGATAATAAAGTATTTGATTAAAAATGAATTGGAGGAAAAACGAACTCAAAAAAGGGTAACCACCCTAATCTTTTGCTACGTTGAAAACAAAACATGCACAAAAAGGGTAGAGAAACACATTACTCAAGAAATCAAATTATGTGTTTGGGCTTTATTAAAATGAGATTTCGACGGAAAATATATTTTGAAATGTTGATTTTTTGAAAAATAAGTAGTTAAAAAATAAGAAATTTTTTGAATCTACGCATTACTTTATTTTATAAAAGAACGTTTAGTTAGAAATGAATTTTTTTTTTTCAAAAAAAAAATGTATTTATTGAAAAATAAAGCGGAAACAGGGGATGTAGCGACAACTTTGACCTACACTTTTTCATTACTCATGCGCGTCTTCCCATTTGGGGTCCATCCTAAACTGTCTGATAAATACAAGGACTTACTGTCGGTTTTTCCCATTCGTGTTCACAGCGGGGGGGTCCGCGGTTGACGGTTGACCTCACAATTGTTCTACTTATACGCAAACACGGCATTGCCATAAATTAACAATTATGCTTTGCGTTGTCTCTCTTTTTTAGAAACTTCCTAGCTGCTGTTGTTCTCTGGTAAATTCATCACCGTCCTTCTCTAAACGGATATGTATGTATAGTGCGTGGATAATACATAATCATCATCTGAAGTCCATTATGATATTCCATTATAATTAAGAATTGAACAAACAGCCAAAGTTTATTTTTATTTTTTTTGCCTCAAAATTTGTGGGTTATCTTCTTCTTCCCCCTCCTCTTTTATCCTGATATTTATCCATTTTCTTCTGTACTGTCCTTGCATGTCAAATCATTTTCTGGTGGCACTTTTTGTTTAATTCTATCTGGGATTCTCTATTTCATTTAGAATATTCTGTTTGATGATAAAGTGACGATCTTGGAGTTGCTGGAGAGTTCGGAAACGACGCCGCGATCGCCGGGATGCAAAACAATGACGATAACCGTACAATTCGGACTAGACCGGCAGCCGCTGTTGAGAAAATACCGGAGTCTGATTTTAATGCGGTAAATGAAGACTCGGAGAATATTAATGAGATCAGAAATGGCTGTGGTGGTGTCGTGGAATCGGAGGAGAGTGAAGAGTTGATAAATAACAAGGAGGTAGAGGATAAAAAAATCAAAGAGAATGGAGAGAGTAGTAAAGGGATGGAGGCATCCGCCGTGAAATTCTCTTACCGGCCATCAGCACCAGCTCACTGGAGAATTAAAGAGAGTCCTCTCAGCTCTGACGCCATCTTCAAACAGGTTTGCTTTGTGTTTGTTTTCTTCAACTACCTTCCATTGTATGCAGTGTATGCTTCTACCTATATGTTTACTTATTGTTTTTTCTTTACATTCATTTTCGTAACTTATTTGGTTTAGATGAGGATTAATGAGTACAGTTATGTGTTCACATAATAGAATATCCCTTTTTGGACATCTATTGTGTTCTTCATTATGAATGAAGCTCTAATTTGAACTGGGATCCTGTTGAGATTAAATGGCCACGTAGCAGCATCTAATGGACTTGCAAAGAGATAAGAGACTGCATTGACTAAGGAATGATGTGCTTGTAAACTTAGGGACGAGGTTGCAATGAGGTCGGAATTGCTAATTTGTGATGATTAATGGTTTTATGTCCGTGGAATGCACTGCTTGAGTAATTGCAATTTTTTTTTGCTTACCATAAGGGGGTATTTGCAGGTAGTGGGAGTAATATTCTGGATATTTAAATCCACTGAATAGTTGCTTGGTGGGGGTCATCAGTAGATTGCATACCATTGGGGAGTTATTTCCATAAATATTAATTTCCAGCACATACAATCAAGATTTTATTCAACGCCTATGAATTACAAACACCTGCTTTTGAACTGATGGTAGAAATATATTTGGTAAATCTTAGTTTTCAGATTTACTGATTGAATAATAATGATTGAGCAAAGCTTTTTGCTTTTGCTTCTGGTAAAATCTGCCAACAAATGGCCCAGAAAATGGTAAGAGGTATAAAACCAGACTAAATATTTATATCTGGATTCTATGCTCTTGATTTAAGTGTTGTCATCATGGCTCTACATAATCTGTCTAGAACTGTCATTTGTAAATTATTACTAATTATTTCTTGAAAATAAGTTCCCATAGAACTTTGTAATATTCAGGACTAATTGGCATCTCGTGACAGAGTCACGCAGGTCTCCTCAACCTTTGCATAGTGGTTCTTGTTGCTGTGAACAGCAGACTTATTATTGAAAATTTAATGAAGGTATGCCTCTTAACACTTTTCTCTCCTTTCGGTTTATGCAGATAGTTAATCCAAATGTAGGTGATGCAGTATATATAATCAGGCATTACTTGTAGACGATTCCAGTTTTTCTTTATAAATCTGTATAAAATATCACAAGCGACAGATATACATTCCTGTTATTGTTGTCAGAGCAGTTAGATGTTAATATATAATTGCAATTTAAGGAACAAAATATTCTATTACTTCTTCTGATGCATTCTTATTTGCTTACTTGCAGTATGGCTGGTTGATCAGGTCAGGCTTTTGGTTTAGTTCAAAGTCACTGAGGGATTGGCCACTACTAATGTGCTGGTAATTTTATCCTGATTTTCCCCCTCTCATCGTAGTTCTGGCAAAAGAAAACAAGTTATCTGGCACATTAGCGGTTGTGCCAATATTTTATTTTGTTTTTTTGTTATGCCATGCAGTCTGAGTCTCCCAATTTTTCCACTTGCGGCTTTTCTTGTTGAAAAGATGGTGAGACGTAGGCATATGTCTGAACGTGTGAGTATAAAGCACTTCTTTGTTTTCATCCTTAAGTGGACTCTGGATTGTATGTTAACATTATGATGGCTCAGGATTTTAATTCTTATTTTACTTTCTCGAAGTTAATGCTGCAAGTGGTTCAACTCCACAAAACTCTGATATCATGGGACTACAATAAAGGAAATGTTTACTTGCATTTATTTTTCTTATTGAATCTGCAAGACACTTACCACGCAATGTTTTGGAATATGATTTCATCCTCTACATAGATATAAATCCGAAATTGATAATAAATGTATTTCTTGAGACTCTAAAAGACATGCAGTTCCGTACCTCGTGTTGCCGACGTTAGGAATAATTGTAAATTTTCACTAGCATATCTCTGTTTCAAAACTCATCATGGTTAGCTAAACCAACAAATGATATGAACTGGAAATTTTATGGCAACGAATGCAGAAGAATTTTAAGCTGTCACGCTGTAGAATTAATTTCTTATTTGTATTTCTGATATTGCTTTTGAGTTTCAAGTTATTTTTTCCTGATGCCTTACCTATTTTTCTTCATTTTCCACCCACCCCACCCTTTATGACATCTTTATTTTTCTAGATTGGCTCCATATTATTGACATAAGATGTCCAGTTACCATGTGATTTGAGATCGTTCCAAACTATGCATCTTAAACATGGCAATTTCTTTAGGTCTGGGTTTGTCTTTTCAAATTTCAACATATATTTTTATATTGCAGGTTGCTGTCTTTCTTCATGTTATAATAACTACAGCGGAAATCTTGTATCCAGTTATGGTCATTCTTAGGTTCGTCATCCACTACTTTAAAATATTTACCCCACACACACACTCTCTTTTTTCTTTTTTCCTACGCCGTCCTTATATAAAGTTAAAACGCTATTTGTATGATAGCATATGATGTATGCCTCTTTCTGGAGAGTACTAAAAGTACTGTACTGTAAGTCAAGCTTTAGGTAGGAAAATAACTTATGTATTCAGGGTTGGGTAGTCAAGAACATCTACCTTCACACTGGCTTGAAACTTTTATTCTGGTCCATGTGAGTGTTATTAGCAATGTAGGTTGCTGAAATAAAGTGCCTTCAAAGGATGACATTTTTGGGGATTGGAATAGGTAGGAAACAGATCGTAAAGATAAATAATTGCAAGTGTAAGTTGTGAGAATTTTTAAGCAGTGTGGAATAATTGTATAGTTCCAACGTGATTTTATAGTTATCAGTTTGAAATTGTGCAGGTGTGATTCTGCTGTTCTATCAGGTGTCACATTAATGCTCTTGACTTGCATTGTGTGGTTAAAGTTGGTGTCTTATGCACATACAAATTATGATATGAGAGCACTTGCAAAGTCACTTGACAAGGTAGAAAGAACCCTCATCACCTCTCACTCTGGCTACTGCGTAATTTCCTAATTGTTTTGCCTTTATATCTTGGACAAGACTAGTTAAAGGACGGTGACAGAAAATTGGCTAGGGAAACACTGATTTCCATAATTTCAAAATCTCTTAATATATTTTCTGCTGAATCTTATAATCTTTCATGGCACTTTGCCATTGTCTTTGGTGAAACAGCAGTGAACTCAGCTTTTGTTATAGCGGATTTGCACATGCACATTTTCTTTATTTTTTCTCAGTGAGATGTTTCCATATTTGATATGTTCTGCTCTTTATTTTTGGAATAATTAACCATGTTATGCAATTTTTTTTTAGTGATGCTCTCTCTCTCTCTCTCTCTCAGGGATAGATAACTAGTCATTCTCTAATCTCTTTGATCAATCGAGTTAATACCACTATTTTTTATTTTATTTTTTTCAATCTCATATCAAACTTCCATTATGATGCCATGGGCAGGGGGAAACCTTGTCCAGTTATTGGAATATGGATTACACTGACGACGAGAGCCTTAAGAATTTGGTATACTTCATAGTTGCCCCTACATTATGTTACCAGGTAAACACACTTGGCTTTTAGTTAATCAAGCTGAAATTTTTAATTTATTAATGCGGAAATCTTTTACAAATGCAAAAAGTATACATTGCTTCATCGAAGGTTGCATAGGATCTTTTTGTACGCATGGCGTGTCATGTCTGCAAGTGCACCAATCTAGGTGTCGACTCTGTATTAATTGTAGTTTACCATGTGAGGACTTTGATTTCATGATTTGTTCATTTAATTATGTCTGAAACCATGTCTTCATGTGTACTATAATCGTATAATATTCATTATTTACACAATTCTACCGCATTTAGTTTTTTTATATACTTAAGAATTTAAAATCAAGAATCCCATTAATAATCAAACTTCTTTCTTATGTACATAATGTTTATTGTGTTTTAGCATAGCTATGTACATCTCCTTATACTTCTGCATGAGCTAACAAGTTCATATGGAGGAGTATTTGCGAACACTTAATATGTAAACAAAAATAAGAAGTAAAACGAAGAAATGAAGCTTTCAGCTAATACTATGGTTTCTTAAAGTAGCATATATAGTATTAACCTGGGTTCTGTTTTCCATGTTGCATGGTTTGTTCTAAAATTGTGAACGAAGATGCTTTGGGGGCAGAAATGAGGTTCTTAGAACTGGTCTAAGATAGTGCTTGCGTTTTTGAGGCTACATGTTACCGTTGCCGTTACAAACTTTTATCCTAATATTACAACATAAATAATTGTTCTTTTTTCTGTTTTGCACTTAGTAATTGATGTAAAGATATTGAACTCGGTTGTTTTTCTCTGTTTTCTTTATTACACCACTTTTGGAGATTTTGTTCTGCTATTTCTCTACTGAAGTACTGTTATTTGCAGCCAAGTTATCCCCGTACAGCTTGCATCCGGAAGGGTTGGGTGGTACGCCAACTGATTAAGTTGGTGATATTTACAGGATTCCAGGGATTTATTATAGAACAGGTAATTTCCTTACTACTTTGAGGTCAATTTTAACAAGGCGTTTGCAATGTCAATGAAAACTTGGTTTATGCAATTTGTTTCATTGTGCAGTATATCAACCCTATCGTGCAAAACTCTCAACATCCTTTGAAAGGGAACCTTTTGTATGCTATAGAGAGGGTCTTGAAGCTTTCAGTCCCAAATTTATATGTGTGGCTCTGTATGTTTTATTGTTATTTCCATCTTTGGTACGTTCTTTCTTTCTCAAATTAATAGAAAACTTTTCTTTCCACTTTGTAATCTTTGGGATTTTGCTTTATGGAACTTTCTGGTCTCTTCTTTTAGCACCATCGTGAAAATTGCCAAAGCAGCAATATGCTCTATACATACGACCATCATTCTGTTTGCTTCAGAATCTTTTAATTTGAAAGTTGATTTTCATACATTGGAATATTGTTGTTTGCTTTGGAATTTTGTTTATATAATCTTTCTCCAAAAATCACTTATAAGCAATTTGAAAACAAGATCTTTGCCGATTATGGATGTCCCGAGTGTTTTACCATGAAATAATAACCCAAAAGAAGTTGAAATCGAGTGTTAGCTATTGGGAAAAAAAAAATTAAGACTGACGTGTGGTAAGATCCAAAAAAATGTTACGAGAAAAAATGATTGCCGAGAGAGAGAGACTTCCGTTCTAATTGAGACATTTAATTCCAACAAATTTTCTGAATGCACTGTTACTGCCAGAGAATGAGCAGTGATGGCAACTTGGTTTTTCTTTCAATTACTTGTTTGTACAACCACTTTGTGTACACGTTTCTTTTTAATCAGATCTTTGCAATTCAATTGCTGCTACTACTTAAACTCAATGCATTTGCCATGACATTAAATATTTGAGTACGATGGAAATTTTAAAGCCTAGTTAATTTCAACAAGGCTTGAGTAAGGGTGGTAACTTTTTATAGCTTCTATAAATCTAGTATTTTAAAAAACTGCGCGACCAAACAACATGATCTAGACAGAGAGGTTCCCTAGAGAATGAGTTGGCCAGATAAAGATATGCATTTGGGCGGTGGTTAGGCCTCTTTGCATTTTGTTCTATGATGGCCTGGATAAACAGAAGTGAAATAGCTGATGTTGCCAATTTGTCTGCTCTGGACAAAAGCTTATAGTTAATAATACATAAAAAGTGTTAATACGTTCTTGATAAAACTTTGTAGTTCTTATGTGCAAAATAACCAAGATGGTTTTAGTTTGTGGCGCCTTTCCGGGAAAATAAAACTAAGTTCACGGCTTATTTGAATTGCATTACTCTATCCATACTGATATGCAGCGCTCTGATTTAGGCTAAATATACTTGCTGAACTTCTCCGCTTTGGTGATCGTGAGTTCTACAAAGATTGGTGGAATGCAAAAACAGTTGAGGAGGTAAGCTTTATACGGCCTGGAAAATTTTTCAACATCATTTTACACTGCAACCATTTTGTGGCTGATTACTGATTCTGTTCTTTAATTGATTGTTCATTACGGTGGCATCATCAGTATTGGAGAATGTGGAATATGGTGAGTAGATCTCTTTGTTATTGTTTTCTTTATTTTGTTGGTGGGGTGGGGGTGTTGGTTGGAAAAGGAGGCGATTGTGGATTCTGACCATGATGATAGAGTGAGTGGTCATCACTATTTAAAGCACTAGTTAATTACAATTACATTTTGGTTACTATTTATGTTCTCCATTTTTATTTTTTTTGGAACAAATTTATCTTTCATCCAACATAATTGATTTTATTGGTGACAGCCTGTTCACAAATGGATGGTCCGACATATATATTTCCCATGCTTAAGGAATGGGATACCGAAGGTAAATTGACTTCCACTTTTAAACTGCAAGCAGTTTTTCGGGGGACGTTGTAGTGATTTATTGGTGAATGAACTTGTATAGAACCATCCTCGTCAGTCAATCTTCCTTTCTTTTTTATCCAAAGTTCCTCGTGGTTCAGTTCAGTTGCCAAAATCTGCAGCTGCTTCTGTTATTCTTTTAAATTTACTGCAGTGCGATATATAACTTATTGACCAAATTGATATGATGGCATGGTATAAGCTGTAAGGTACGTTCCATTTTTAAACTAGCCTTCACATAGACTACGCAAGATCATACTTTTGGAAATACGTTCCATCTTATTTTTGTATTGGGAGTCTTGAGAAGGCTAAGCCACTATACTTCTTTGAGATTAAACTTTTTTTGCCAAATGTTTGAGGTTATTGAAATTTTGTCACAATTGATACTGCTTGCCTATGGGTGACTGTTGAATGTTGATAGAGGCATACACATATACATACTCCCTTTCACAATTGGATTTTTTGTTTTCTATAAAGGGCGTTCAAAATAATTTCCTTTACAAGAGGATAGTTATACACTTTCTGGAAGAGCCTAACCTTAAAGTACATGATGTTACTACCAAAGGATTCGTGGCAAAAAGTTTTGACAGTAAAAGGAAAAATTTACATCAAATACCCACATTTTATCTCAATTAAAACTCCAAGCCTATCCTAACCATCCATTCAGTTATAGGGGGAATGCATAATAAGGTGCCAAAACTGATTCTTTGAGCCATTACTGCATCTACCGAATTTCAATATGCAATATTGACAAGCGGGGTTGACCTTATTTACAATCTCTATTGCTTTCATTTACAACAACGGCGTCTGGTTCTACTGTCAATTGATTTTGATGCAGGGAGGTGCGGTTTTGATTTCCTTCCTCGTATCTGCTATTTTCCACGAGGTATGTGATGATTTCTTCTTTTCCTTCTCTTCCCATTTCATTGGAAATGCTTAGTTGTGGATCTAATGAATTTCGTAAACGAAATCTACTACCTTAGTTTTTGTAGATGATACAATTTAAGTATGCTTGTCTGCAGCTGTGTATTGCTGTTCCTTGCCACATGTTCAAGTTGTGGGCATTCATTGGAATTATGTTTCAGGTAATGACATTTAATACCAGCATTTGCAAAATTTAGTCTCTCTTGACGTCAGTGATGTGACTATCTTCACAAAGTTTTGATGTGAGTGAATAATGGTCACTACCATTTTGAGAGTTCTTGTTTTACCCTATCGTCCTCGTATCATTTATGACAAATGTTGAATTGTAATTTGGTTCTGAACTTCATCTGCTTTTTGAGATTTTAAATAATCTATGAGCTCGGGTATCGTCTCTGAACAGGTTCCTCTGGTTATTGTAACGAATTATTTGCAGAACAAGTTCAAAAATTCAATGGTACATTTTTCTTCACTGTATGCCATGTTTTTATCTGTTCATTTTGCCCGCATGGTAATTCTTGCTTGGATATCGTGGTTTGAATTTAGCCACATGTTCCGTTCCCCATTCTCAGCCTTCTATTCTGCACGGTTTTACTTCAAAAATTGACTTTGCTGCTGATTATTCTTCCAGGTGGGAAACATGATGTTCTGGTGCTTTTTCTGCATTGTTGGCCAACCTATGTGTGTATTGCTATATTACCATGACATGGTGAATAGAAAAACTGACGTGAACTGAAGGATTCAGCAATCCGAATTGAACCAACTCCACCCGCTTCCTGTAAGCGCCTTATTCCTCCTTCGGTCGATACATACTTGATTGTACTTAATCATATGCTCGACTTCATTCGACAACTAACAAGAGACGTATCTCTATTATGCAGTCAACCACAAACATTTACTTTACGACAAGTTTTATGTAATATTGTCATGTAAAGCTTATGCTATCATTAGGTAGATTGTATAGTAGTTTGAAATCTAGAGTTGCTAATAAATATATGTTGTATAGGACCATTCAGTACACCTCTTAATACACCTCTTAATCTTATACACTATCGTTGTCTTCAGATGCCATGATACACCTCCTTTATGGTCGTACGGGGAAGACCATACGGTCTCTCCTTGTGAAGACATTTTACTCAGTTTATGTATCCCGAGAAGCCATTCTCGTCTGGACTGTGTTTCCCGAGGATTGCTGCTCGAGAAATAACTTAGGCATCCTCTTAAACTTCAACACATCCTGAACTCGGTGACCGTCCTACCCCTAGTGAACCTGTACCTCTGCTTAACCTTATTCTTATCTAAGTAGACCTAGTCCTTCAACGGTTAGGATGTTGGTATAAATGTAGATTGCTAACGAGATATGGCCCAACTGTCCTAATCATTCGAAGGCTGCAGCATAAAGCACTATATTCTATATATTGCTACATAATACACAGACATTCTCCGACTTATTGCTCTAAATTCATAGCTTTCTGCATATATTTTCTCTTTATACGTTACTGACTTAAGCATAGGAATGACTACGATAGCACACCTCATAGCCTTTTTTCAAGTATTTAGAGAGTTGTTCATGATTGGCTTTCGTCTGAATCTAACAACTTGGTCATCTTCCCTACCTTAGGTCATTTTAGGTACGTATTTTGGTATCATCAAATTCGATAAGACATCAAGTATTTAGAGAGTTGTTCATGATTGGCTTTCGTCTGAATCTAACAACTTGGTCATCTTCCTGACCTTAGGTCATTTTAGGTACGTATTTTGATATCATCAAATTCGATAAGACCTCTATTATGATCAAATTAATGTAAGTTTAGCAAGAACATTAAAATGTAGGGAGCAAGAAATAAATGAGACCATTGGACAAACCTACTCTACATGTATTAACTCTCTCGCTCTCATGCCTTCACAACTTGATCTCATCACCCTACTTTTATCAACTTGAGAATTTTATGAGACCTCAATTTTTTCGTCACATTCTTATCCTAAACTCTCAATTAATTAGCATATCTTATTATTGATCGCGATTTATGTCTAAATATTCTATTAGAGTTCTTCAAAATGAGGGGTAAAATATTTTGTTGAACTTATGTAATTTTTGGATTGTTTGACAAAGTTTTTTGAAAAGTTGTGGATCTCATGAAAATGTGATATCAAACAAGTCATTTGATATTTTTGTTTTTTTAAAACATAAGGGACAATTAAAACTTTTAATTTCCTAATGATTTTTTGGGACAAAAATCATCACTAGAAACAAGATGTGTTTATTGTTGGAAGGTTGATGATAAAAATCGACGGAAAACAAGGTGGAACACAAATACCACAATAAGCAAAAGATTAATGACATTTTATTGTAATTAAAATATGATGTGAAAACAAAGAAAATGTTATATGGATTATTCTGTTTGAACAATGCCACGTTGACTCTGCTCAAACAGGAGCATCATAGGCCCCCACCTATAGGGGAGCATCACTTGGCGTCTCGGTTTGAACAAGGCCTACTCCCTACCTATAGTGGTGTTAGGATGCCAAAAAATTTCGCCAGCTCGGGCTCGACTCGAAAAAAGCTCAAGTCAATCCCTGCTCGTGATCGGTTACACCAAGTCAAGGCTACTCATTTTTTTGGCCGGACTTTGCTCTACTTGAAGCTTTTTTTTTTTTTTAATTTATAATATGTATAACCCGTACAAATTTTAAATTTTTTAAATAAAAAAGTAGATTTGACATTAAAAAAAAATCCTGAACGGCTCGATCCGGGCTCGCCCGCTAAGGCTCAAGTTTAGCCTCATTTTTTTTTTTTTTTGGCTTAGCTTTGTCCGGCTCAGGCCCAAAAAAGTTCAGTCTAAAGAAGCTTGAGTGGAGCCCGAACTTTTTTTTCGGCTTGGGCTTGGCTCGTTGACATAGCTATAGTGGCGCATCCTATGAACATGGGGACAACGACATTACCCATCCCGTCCTTTCTGGTATTGCTCCACGCAGAAATCAACAATACTAAATGTACATAAATTTTGTGTCAGAAGTTGTACAGAATAGTCACATGGATGTGGTCCCACCTCATTTAAATATAATTTTTCAAAGTGGACCCCGCATATTTGTTTCTTCCTTTTTTTTTTCGTTTCTGTATGGCAATGAAGGTAATATTTTGTAATATTTATTGCAGTTTGTAAATTAAATACATATTGAAAAACGAAAATTAAGGCATTCTTGAAATAATTGAATTGTAGTATGGCTATAATCATTCAAAAAATGATTCTTATTTGACGTGATATTTAATATACTATAGATTTAAATTGTGCATCTTCATATGCCTTTTTAATAGCATTAACACTTATTTTCAGCATGTTCCACAACACAATTTCGCAGATTATTCAAACTCCACATGAATTCAACTAATCTATTGACATGCATTAAATTAACGTCAATTATGTATAGTTCAATTTGTTGGTACGCAATAAATTAAAGTAAAATGAGCAAAACGAAAGGAAAATAAACGCGTCTAACACCAACTATAAGGCGTATAAATTCTTATTAGATTTTGATTATTTGAGAACCACTTCTTTTTTACGTTCATTCTCATCAATACAATCTCAAAAAAAAAAAAAAAAATAATAAATTATTTTCACATTTTCATATAATTTTTTCTACTTTTTAACTCTGCGTTCATAAAAAACTATTTTTAAAATAATCACTTTTCTTAAAAAATTTATCAAACAAATGTATACTCAATACTATGAATAACTTGTATTATGGCATTACTTTAGAAACTAAAGATGTTTTATCATGACTTATGCTTGTTGCATATTTTAATTATTAATATTACGAGTAGCATTTGTAGCTGGATGCCAATGCATCGACATATCAATGAAAATGAACTTTAGTGGATGTTTGATGGGATTAAAATTAGATTTTTAGTAAATCGTGATAGAAATTTCTGAAATGTGTTGTTGAAAAACTGTGGAACCCATGGAAAAATGTGATTAATATTGATTGTTTGACTTTGATTTAAATTAAAATTTGATTTTAATCCAAAACAAATAGGGGTCCCTTTGATCCACATTATCTGAGATTATAATTTTTGAATTTTTTTTTTTTTTTGGAAAAGTGCGTGGTTAAAAAAAAGAATTTTTTTTTTGAATTTACGTATAATATTATTTTATTTGAAAATGTATGACTGATAAGAAAAAGAGAGAGAAATTGATTATAATTTTAATAGAGTCAAACGAGAGCTAAGACCAAATACATATTTTTTTCATTATTTAAGAGTTGTTCACAAACAATGTAAATTAAAATAGATAAAAATAAATGATGAACAAGTGATCAGTACTTGTGAATTTTACGAAATACACGAATAAAAAGCATTTCGACGAAGTATTAAAATAATTTAGGTACTTTTTAGAAATAAAAATAAAATATGACATTTCTCTTCGGGTGTAACGTCATGCAATTTGCTACAGCTAGTCTAGTCTAATTTCTTCAAAAACACGGGTTGCTTTCAGCCCCCACTCCCCCCCTACCCCATCTTCCCGGGAGGGAAAATATTTCAGATAGTTTTGGGGGAAATTGAATGAGATTTCAAAAGGAATTTAGGGTTCTTCCTCCCCCGAGTTCACTCTATTTCCCTTCTTCCCTGCTCATTTCCTCCCTCCACCTGTTTCAAAAAATTCGTCCTAAACAACTTCTGTAACTAGTCACCCCCTCACTCTCTCTCTTTCTCTGTGTGTGTGTGTGTTAAGAGCTACAGCCTACAAGGTACGTAAATTTATGTACCTACCGTTTTATTACTCTGACTACATGTTTGGTTTAGTTTCTTTTGATCCGTCACATGGGTTTTTGGAAGTCGAGTTATGGGCCGGGGTTTGTTTAATTTTCAGGGTTTCGTTTGCTTGCGGTTTTTAATGTTTGTATTTGTTGATACATTTCTCTAATTTGTTGCGTTTTCTATTTTTCTGAGCATGTTTGATTCTAGGGTTTTGAAGGTATTGATTCCCTCTTCATTTCTTAGGGTTTTGTTAGTTTTTTGTTTTTAATTATATGTTTGTTGATATATCACCCCAATTTGGTAAATGTACTATTGTCCAAGCATGTTTAGATTTAATATTTCGAAAGTATTCATTCTAGGTGGCATTTCGCTTTTTGAAAAATTATTTTGAATCTTTTTTACTTTATTTATTGTCTGCTTTCAGGTTTTATGTGGGGTAAACCAGAAGCTTGAAGATTTTTATGATTCCAAGTTGTTATAGACGAAGGAATATAAAGAGTTTAGCGGTAGGTTACTATGAGAAGTTCAGAGATGTATTTTTTATATTCACGACAAGCTACAAGAAAAAAATTGTTGAGTTTTATGTACGTTTTATCACTCCACATACGTTCTCTTATTATCCATCTGATTTTGAGTAATGTATATGGACATAGACTTCTTTTTCCAATGGAAACAATAAATCTTCATCGTATGTGGGTCTTTCTGAGTATTTTATTGTTCAATCATGATTTTTTCAATTAGACTGCTTGAATCGTAGAACTTTGACATCCTAAGGAGACATCAAATAATAGTTAAATTATGTATCCAGTAATCATTGTATTTGGTAATAAGTCAAAGACTGAACAAAAAAAGTGAATTGCTGGACTTTCTGGTGTCAGATGAACTGTTTTATGTTGGTGGCCTATTTTGTTCTATATTGCAGGCCTGTTTTTTAAGATTCAGATGTTAAAGTCCTGGATCATATAATTTATTTAGACAGCCTGAAGGCCTCCATTTTGAAAGCACAGTATAATATTTGGCCTAAGATCTCGATACAACAGTTTTAGAGGCTTCAAGGTGGTAATAACTAATTTATAACAAGGAAATTTCTTAGTGTGTTGCTTTTGCCTTCTCTTTATTTCATAAACTTGTTTTGTGCTGACTTTTTCTTTTTGAAAAATGAGAGAGTGATGATTTAAACTCGACAGTAACTCCCATAGAAAAAATGTCTTAATATGGCTGCAGGCTCTAATTATTTGGATACTTGGTGGGCTCTGGAGGAAAAGGCAGAGTTATTTGGTTTGAGAACAAAGAGAAATTTCACTTCTGTTAATTCAATTTTTGAGCTTGAGGACTTTGATCGGTTGGCATTTTATTTGTACTTTATATTGGCAATGGAGTGCAACAAGGATGAAGCCTTCCGAGCAAAGCTGATTGCTGAGAAGAAGATGGAAAATAATGACTTTGAAGGGGCTCAAAAGATTGCTCTGAAAGCTCAAAATCTTTTCCCTGAACTTGAGAATATAGCTCAGATACTGACCGTCTGTGACGTTCACTGCTCATCACAAAACAGGGTATTGGGATCTGAAAAAGACTGGTATGGAATACTTCAAGTCGAAAGGTTGGCTGATGAAGCCACCATCAAGAAACAGTACAGAAGACTTGCACTTCTACTCCATCCCGATAAGAACAAATTTCACGGTGCAGAAGCTGCCTTTAAGTTGATTGGGGAAGCAAATAGGGTACTATCGGATTCTACAAAGAAGTCTGTATATGACACTAAGATTAGAGCTTCAGTTAGAACAGCTCCAGCAAATTCATCGCAGCATCAGAACAATAATGCAAATGGTTTCGCTGCTCGCGGTCGGAATCAATATCAGACAAAGCCGCCAAATTCTGTAGCTAGACAGGCAGGATTCTGGACAGGTTGCCCATTTTGTAATGGAAGATTTCAGTATCCAAGAGAATATGTGAACAAAGCTTTACGCTGTCATAATGAAAATTGCTCAAGAGCCTTCATTGCTTATGACCTAGGTGCTCAAGGGATTAATTTGGGGTCCAAATGGGCTCAACCAGGTGTTCAAAATGTGTCTTCGAAATCCAGCCAGAGTCAACCTTCTCTTTCTAAACAAAAAGAGGTCCCAGACCTGGGTGACTTCAAAATGGACACACAAAATATCACAAGATCCTCAGATTCTCATGCAGGATCTCTTGGAGGTGCCACCAGTAGAAAAGTTGGGTCAGAATCAGGTCCTCAAGCAGAAACTGTGGCTGAGATTGGTGGGGACTTGAAGGCAAAAGAAAAAGATACCAAACATGCCGAATCGTTGAATGTTGGAAAGGCAGGGAGTGCTATGCCCAATCGAAATGCAACGCCTAGAAAATCAGGAAATATGGATAACAAAAGCAGGAAGAGAGGCAGGAAGGTACTTGTGGAATCTAGCGAGAGTTCTGACACAAGTGATTCTGACCCGGAAGATGTGGTTATTGAGGAAAATTATGACAACCATGGGACCAGGATGGATCCTGGACTTGATGGTTCCCATCGTCTAAGGGGACAGGCTCAACCAAGGCGGCACGTCTCTTGCAATATAAGCGATGACGGTGACTTTGCTAGCCCTCCCAAGAGATCGCGTGGGAACAAATTATCAGGTGACGGCAAAAAGGAGGAAAATGAGACTGTGGACAGCGAAGTTTCAAAATTTTGTAATCCAACTAGTTTTACTACTGATGAAGATAATGCCAAATCAAAAGTAAAAAAAATGGGTACTTTTCCTTCTGAAGAAAGCCTCCCATACAAGAATGCAGAGAGTAGCGAAGTCAAGGTTGACGAACAGGCAGCTGGTATGCAGGGCACTGTGGCTGAACCTTCTATTCATATCTTGGATGATTCTGAACCAGATTCAGATTCTAGTGATGAAGAGAAGAAAGTTTACGAGTGTCCTGATCCAGAATTCCATGATTTTGATATGATCAGAGAAGAAAACTGTTTTTCCATTGGTCAAATGTGGGCTTGTTATGATACATTAGATTGCATGCCTAGATACTATGCTCAGATAAAAAATATAATTACTCCTGGATTCAACTTGAGCATCAACTGGTTAGAAGCTCACCCTGAGGATAAACAAGCGACTAATTGGGCAAATGTGGAGTTGCCTGTTAGCTGCGGTAGATTTAAGCGTGGTAAGAATGAAAAAGCTTCAGAACTTTGTACATTTTCTCATCAAGTTCATTTTCAAAAGGGGAGGAGCAGAGGTTCTATTGTCATATATCCTAGACAAGGAGACATTTGGGCTCTTTTCAAGGGCTGGGATATTCGATGGAGTTCCAATTCGGAGAATCATAAACATTTCAAATATGAAATTGTGGAGGTTATGTCAGATTTTGTTGATGGTACTGGTATAAGAGTTGCTTACTTGGATAAAGTTGAAGGATTTCTTAGCCTATTTCAGCGAACAAGTGGGAGTGAAATTGATTCGTTTTTGATACAACCCAGCGAACTGCTTAGGTTCTCCCACCAAATTCCCTTTTTCAAAATGACTGGCAGTGAAAGAGAAGGAGTCCCAGAAGGGTCTTTTGAACTTGATCCTGCTGCCTTACTCCTACAAGGCTAAGGGGGACATTTGAAACAGGGATGCTGAAGTCAATTGTTCATGGCCAAAGTTTGGCCTCCCGTGATAGTTATTTTTCATTTTTTGTTTTCTAACTTGAGGCCGTGTTGCTCTCGATCTGGTTGTAGTTATTGGAGGAAATAAATTTAGCTGATCTTCCAATGGTTGGGTGCACTTTTCTGCCAGAAGCTTTTTACATAGCTTTATGACAGCTTTGTAGTTTACTTTGTTTCCTTAGTTGCTCTTGGTATCTTTGCAAGTCATTTCTGCCTACTCTTACATTAATTTATACAGCGGTACCTTAACTGATTGTACATAAATAGCACGTCTTTTTTCCAATCTCATTTTGATACTTTCTTGTGGTATTAGTTGCACTACTTTCTCATACTTATGCTTGTTTGGACTTGCTTATAAGTTACTAAAATTATAGGTAAAATTAAAGTTTGATTTGGTTTTTTAAATTACAATATAATTATAATTTAGACCATACAAGCATTCAGTTTGAATGTTGCACCCCCTTCTATGTAAGCTAATGATCTGGTTGCTAACCTATATGGTTTTGTAGTAACCTCGAATCGTGTGCCATGAGTAATCTAAACTGCTGTACCTGGTGCATGCAGCTGATAGTCACCCATCTTCCACAACCCACGGCTCATGCAACTTTGCACTTGGCTACCTAGCGTTTACCGTGGTATGATAACGGGTGCACAAAGGTGCATCCTTTCAGGTTCTTTTGTACTAGGAAAATGTCATCTCAATGTTTTTAACGTCCACACCGGATAAGAACCAAACTGTTTGATGACATTCTGAACTCAGTTTACGTATCGCTTTAATGGATGAACAGCTCAACCCTTGAAACATACAACAATCATAGGTGGCAAAGAGCTGACATTGAGGTGCCAAGCCTTTTTGTCAATGTGAGCTCTTGGAAAGATCAACCCTTAAAACATACTACAGTCTTAGGTGGTAAAGAGCCGACTTTTGTCCCTGCTTAACGGGTGGGTCTTACAGTCAATGGTACTTATTTTTCTTATTTAATTTAGTGTTACACAACATGCCAATCATGTTTAGTGCACATTACATTCTAAGCAATAAAGCCACACTGAATTTACTTCCCTTCCCCTCGAGCAAATAGCATTAGCTTCAAGGAAAGCCAACATAAATTTAAGCACGCGTTCAAAGTTGCATGCGTCCACGGAGTTCAACATGCCTAAAATAACAGAGACAAAAGAAACAGTTTGTAGAATAACAATACAAAACTTTCTTAATAATTGCAAAGTCGCGCCTCTAAAGATTGGTTAATACTCTAGTAGCTGCCTATGTTTGAAATAAAAACTGGGTCAACCTCTTAAATGCTGCTGCTCAAAAATCCAAAAACTAATTGTCAGCACTAGTCCTGTTGCCCCTCGGAGTCTACTTATCACTGTATATTTCATTCACTTTTTACGGCGCAGCCATGCATTACAGTTCTTCCCCCTATCAAGAAACCAAAAATAAAATCAGTAAGAAATTTGCATCAATGGTAGGATCGTTACAAAGATGAAAAATATAGAATTTTCCGACTTCATTTTAGTTAATTTTAATAAGCTCCTTGACTAGCATATATAGAACATTTCCTCAACTCTGTTTTACCCCGTTTCAATTAATTTCACTTTTCATACACATTAATTGTTACAATGAAGGGAAAAAAAAAATGAGACATAAATGTGAGGAGCACGATGTTCTTCTAGGACATCAAAAAAATAATAGAAAGGAGCACAAAATACATTCACGACAATGACTCCATCATGCAAAGACACTTCCTCTCGTAACACACAAATTTCTAATCAAACTCCATCTATAGACCACGCAACTCTTAGCATTTGTTTGCAGGAAGCATAATGCACATCAGTCAGCACAAATTATTAGGTCGAGTGAATAAAAATAGACTATACAACTATAATAGAAACATCAGTCTGAATTGATAAGTTAATTGCAAGTATTAATACCATCTCACTTTTCATAGATTTTAAGTATTTTTTTCCGAGCATTCGCATCATAGTCTACCAAAACAATAATATTCTAAGGTATCAAGATCCAGGATCGACAAAATTGCACTAGTATGCTATAGATGATATGAAATAAGAACAATAAACAAGACGGGAAATTGGTTAATTGACACAGGATTTAATGCACTTCAAAGACCAAATATTCCCAAGTAACATATGAGCATGGAATATGGATAAGCCGAAAGAAATAAGAGAAAACCTTTGTTTCGAAGCAAATAATTTCTGCCCAAGTTGAGGTGCACAGGCTGAAGATGTACCATGCAGAAGATTGTCAAAGCCATGCACATGTTTGGATCCTGCAAGGGCTACTCTTTGAAAATCTTGAGATCCACCAATTTCTGTCGTAATTCTGCAGCTTCTTCAGGCATACCAGCAGTGTCAATCTCATGAATTATTTCCAAATAAACTGTGACATAGGACTTATGTCTACTTGATATCAACATTTCTAGGACTTGGATTGCAGAATTTACTTTTTTGTTCTGGCACATTCTCTTAATAATGAATTTATAACAATTATCTCTTATCCTGTCTTTGTTAATACCCATCACCTTTAATAATTCTATAGCCTCTTCAACTAGATCGGCTCGGCAGAAACCCCAAATCAAACATCGATAGGTAACTTCATCAGGACAAACCCCGTGCTCCACCATGTTATTGTATACTTCCATTGCGTTCCCCATAAAACCCTCCTTTGCCAATCCATCAATGACAATATTGTAAGTGATTAAGCTAGGAGAGCAGTTTGTATCACATAAGCAATGAAGAATTTGGATAGCCTCATCTAGCATTGCTTCCTTACAAAGAGCACGTAGGAGGGTGTTATAAGTAATTATATCAGGAAAGCAGTTGCGGGAAACCATCTGATTAAAGAAATCGATTGCACGATCCAGATGATCATGTTTACATAAACCATTAATCAAAATATTATAAGTTACGCGAGTAGGAGGGTGTGATGTTTCATTCATGAAAATGAGGATCTCGTCCACTTCATCCCAACACCCATAGGTACAAAGAGAATGGAGAAGAGTATTGTATGTGATAGCATTTGGCTCCATTCCACGAGATAGAAGATTAAAGATAACCAGCACCGTGTCATCATAGTTTCTCTGTTTAGAGGAAATATTGACCATTGAATTGTATGTCACGAGATCCGGATAACATCCCTCCACTGTCAGATCTTCCATGATTTCTAATGCGCGTACAATTCCAATATGTTTGCAGACTAACTCAATGAGAACCGTGTAAGTGATTACATAAGGAGGACATCCCTTTCTCAGTTGATCCTTCCAAAACTGAATAGCCTGATCAAACCTACCATTATCAAACATGGCTCGTAGTATCGTGTTGTAGGTAATAACATCTGGAGGACAACCACTCAAACTCATATTCTCTAAGACATCAATAGCCGGATTAAGATTTTTCATCCGACATAGGCCACTAATTAACATGTTATACGTGATAATATCTGGAATCCCACCAGACAAAACCATGAGTTGGAGGACATTAACGGCTTTTCTAGTCCGGTCAATATTGACAAGGCCCCTGATCAACTTTATGCAGGAAGGGAAATCTGGAATTTGGTTTCTACGAGTCATCAAATCTACTAACTTTGCTGCATTGAGTAACTTCCCACGAATGCAAAAGCTTTGAAGGATTTCATTATTAGTTTTCTCATCATTTTCAACAAATGGTCCGTCTGAAGACAACCTTGCAGAATTAGCGTGCTTGCTTAAATTGATTTGTCCATTTAATTTCTTCTGAACATTCATCTTGTCTCGATCCAAGTTCCACTCATTTTGATTACTCACGCTGATTCTATCAAGACAAACACCCCTTTGCTGCCCTCTACACCTTAACGAAGAAGCACTTGCTCCTGAACCATAAACTCCCACCCACTTCAGCCGATAATGCGTTGGATGATTAGTGCCAAAACCAAGATCTGTTTGGTGGGAAATTGAGTTCGAGGTATGCATATTTTGAACCTCAATCATCGATTTATGGAGAATAAATTTGTAATCCATTTATATCCCCTAAATCAAAAAACAACTCAGAACAGCATTTATAATGTATTTCGCCAACTGGCCACTTTGTTCAAGAATTATTTAAGCAGTACTAACTACCAGACCCAATCTTCCACAAGATGAAGCAGTACTAACTACCAGAACCAATCTTCTACGACATGAAGCAGAACTAACTCTTTTATGCTAGTCATCCAAGTAAAGCACAATATACTCCACAGTTCCCCAACTTTCAAAAAATTTCCCAGGGGTCAGGATTTCATAACAGGACATAATACTCATGTTAAACTGCATATTTTTGGTTGAACAAACAAAATCAAATAAGCAGAAAAAATCTCTATCGACGAATTCAAAAGGAGCATGTAATTCTTTCGTCGTACAAAAGGAAAAGATGGATAAAAAACAATTCACATAAAAGCATGATGCAGAACCGAAATGGTCAGAAAATCTGTTCGAATACAGATATCCTAAACGGCACAACCATATTCAAGAAACTCTTAAAACACAAATGGAAGGAAACTCCATTCTTTTATGGGTTTTGTTACTGAATTTTCCTAGGAAGCAAACAGAATTCTCACAAATACTTCTAGAGAATTACCAAATATTGCCCTGTTAGGACCTTGTTGACTTTCAGTTATGAAATTGATCTGTTTAATTATATTATTCTCAATAGACCCATATATTATTTGTATAGTAATGTGTTCATGGACCGATTGGATATGACCAAGAATGGATTTTGACGCGATGAGGGCTGTATAAAATCATTTACAATAAGGTTATTTCACCATCTTTTTACTCCAGTAGACTGCAAATTACTCTTGAAAAATGGAAAACACAATAAGAAAATAAATAACTGAATACTACACATACGGATTAAAATTTTCAGAACTATCTTGAAGATATATATTTCGTTTCTTCCTAGAGTCATTGGTCAAGAGATACACATAAAAACGAAGAAAATTACATTGTTACACAGCAGCAGTCAAGACAGAAACCAAGAAAAAGGGTAGCAAAACTTACACCAAATTTGGCCTCCTCAATGGAAGATAGTGGTGTAACTTGTAGAGAGAGACCTGAGCATGGCTGGTGATGGTGGATAAGTTTCTGGGAGAGAGTCGGTGTGTAGAGAGGGTTGTCGGGGGTTACGAGGGTTTGACGAAAAATATGTTTTTCTTCCTTTTGAGCATAGGAAATGTCGAAACAAAGTTACAAAGGTCACATGTTAAATATTGCTATATGGGACTGAAAAACAATTAAATAAAGCTAGAGAAATAGAAGTACTAGGGACTGAAACATATGAGAATACTACGGATGGACTTTAGTGCAAGTTATGATTAATGCTATCTAGCGCCAAAGATGTTTAGAATGTCTGGGGCACAAAGATGACTCACATGTGAAGTTATGATGGATTTTGATCTATTAATGCTAGATACAATTATGTACACAAGCTCATGATTTTACTGTATGTTCAATCACACATTGACACTGGCTCAATGGTTTAACTCTTCATGTTTGCCACGCTTACACCATCGAAAAGGAGCCCATTGTTACTTATATGCAGCTTCGTTTAGGGTTGGATATGTTTGGTTCGGTTCAAGTTGGTTTTAAGGAGAACAGTACCGATTCCGAATTTTTTGGTATTTAGTAAGTAGAATCGTCGGGTCCAAATTTAATTATGGAACTGTTCGGTTCTGTTTCATTCGGTTATCGAGTTTCGTACAATAATTAATTTTTTTTAATATTTATAATAACGCTATATTAATTCAACTAATGACAAGTTCAATTTTAACTCTTACAAAATAATGTAGCTTAATTCCGTGATATCTTTTGTGCTTCTCTTTCTTGAGTTTTTCATATATTCAACTGCTAAAATCACAAGAAGAAGAAGATAGCAAGATCACAATAATAAATAGAGGCTTTAAATTCGATTTCTCAAGAACGGCAAAAAGACAGTACGGTAGAATAAGATATTTGAATAAAATATAGGTCAATTTGATTAATTGGCATTTGAGTGAAAATTAGAAATAAGAAAAATCATGTTTTAGGTTTAGGCTAAATTAAGCAGTTAGCAAATTTATTTAGAAAAAAATAAATTAATTTGACTTATTTAAGATAAAGAAAATTGGAATGTTCAGTTCTTTGTATAGAATCGAAAATCGAACTAAAATCGTCGATTTTCGATTCAAATATTCGTTCGAGTATTTAACTTAAAAAGAACCACTCAATTAGGTTCGAGGTTGATTTGGTCAGTTCTGTTCAACCCTAGCTTAATTCTTGTTTTGATTTTTATTTTTCAAAATCACTTCTCTACTTCACTCATTTTTAGTCACATATTCAAAAAAAAAAAAAAAATCTCCTTNAATACAAAAACGTATCAACCACTTCCTACAATCCGGCCTGAACCTTTGGGTAGACTCTGCAGGATCAACGACAATAGCTGCACGGAGTACGGTAGAATTCCTCGGTACGGTCATTCGGGAAGTCCCTCCGAGGACGACTCCCATACAATTCTTGCGAGAGCTGGAGAAGCGTCTACGGGTAAAGCACCGTATCCATATAACTGCTTGCCACCTACGCTCGGCCATCCATGCCAAGTTTAGGAAGCTAGGTAATAGTATCCCGATCAAACAGCTGACGAAAGACAGTGTGCCATTCCAGTGGAAAACTGAGGCAGCATGGTTGTTGCCTCAATCTTCGATCCGTCCATTAGTTGATTCGTTCGTTGGGATTCGCCCGCCTAAGCAAAGTCGAAGTACGTGGGGTCCAACTGCAAGAAGATGGACTTTATCGAGACTTAGAATTGACCAACTATTAAGTCTTGGAACGAAATTTTGTAGCTAATAGAATTGGAGACAATGACTGCAAATCATGATGTAGAGGATTGAAGCCCCTGTTTGGTGGTCCTTTTAGTAAATTTTTTAAATAGTGACTTTTTGAGAATATGTGGTTAAAAATTAGAGAAAAATTTTAAAATTATGTATAGAATATTTCATCGTGTGAATATTTGGTTAAAAATGAGTTTATAAAAAAATAAGTGTGAAAAAGAACGAGGGAGAAGCGGTGCTCAATCCCCTTGCCCCAATATTTATTTTCCTTACAAAGATAAGAAAATATAATGAACGGGACAGCGGACCAATCTATCTTTTATCAAACGAGCCTACCATGGCAAAAAATTCTTTTGGCGGACAAACGCATGACCATAAAATCTTACTCTACAGCCAGGACAATGACAATACTACTCCCCATTCAGAACCACCTGTAATCTATGAAGATTGAAGAAAAACCATAACAGTTTCCAAGTGAATTTGGAGTTAAAGAAGATATACTTGTTTGCTTTTTCTTTAAATCCTTCTCTATTTGCGTCCTAATTGCGAATGCATATTCTAGTTAGAGAAATTTTCGTCCCGTCGATTCATAGGCAGATGAGCGAAGCTTGGGCGAAATTGAAGCAGCCGGAGACAATACGACGGCGTAGAGCGCTGGGGAGAGTGGATAGGGAGTTAGAAAAGGGGAATTACAAGGCAGCCCTGTCTCTGGTCAAGCAGTTGCAAGGTAAACCCGGTGGTCTTCGTGGCTTTGGTGCCGCCCAACAGGTATCTTCCTACTTCTTTCGAAAGGCCAACTGATTTACCTTAATATCTCAAAATGTGCAAGCATGCAGCAACAATTTAACAAAATGAAAGACCAACTGATTTACCTTAATATCTCAAAATGGTTGAAGCGAAGGGTAGCTTTTTATTTAAAGAATTATATTTTAAGAGCATGTTTGTCTAAACTTAAAAAGAAAAATTCAAAGTTAACCTTTTTATTCCAGAAATTTGTTCTAATAGATGCCAAGGTTGGTGAGTTAATTTTTCATTTTTTCTTGACTTAAGATGTCATATTGTATATTTTAGTTTGTGAATAATGTTTATGTAAAGATCTAGCATTTTCTTATCATACGAGGCAATTGGTCATCAACCATAGTATTGAAAGAACATCGCGCCAAAACATAAGAAATTAGTTAAAAACAAGATAGATTATGTTGACATGCCCAGGTGCCTAGAAGAGCATTTCAATCATTTGTTTGAAGTTTTTATATTGTACAGGTGCCTAGAAGAGTATCATCCTTGGATGAACTAAAGTTGAGTGGAGAGGTGAAAATATCCTCCCTGGAATTGATAGTTGATTCAGTTCTTCGTTCCATCAAATATAGCTTAGAGTTTGCATTGTTGGAGGATGAGGAAGAAGAGGTGTCTTTTTTTTTTCGAATTCCAGAATTTTTTCTCATTTTTGTGCACCTGAAAGGCACAAGTAATTTACATTTTAGAAAGAAGCTCTGCAAAATGTTTTGTTGAACAAGCAATATCATACAACAAAAAGTTTCAAGATATTCATTGGATAGATCAGTTGGATTATTCTGTATCTTTTCTATTTTGTTAAATCAAATTATCTTTAACAGGTATCTTTGTTGGGATTAGGAAATTTGATGAACGGAGAAATTCATGATTCTCCTTTTGAAGATCATCCAATGTGTATGCAGGTAAGATGCCCTTTTTCCCATTATATCATTTTCTATGTACATGCTGCAGTTAGAAGGCACCTTTATCAATGAAGATGCTACAAAATTATAGGTGAAATCTAATTGAACCTAGAGTTTCCTATCACCAATGCAAGTTGTTAAGTATTTGCTTCTAAAGTAGATTAAAATTAGAAAATACACACTAGTTTATTATATCAATATAATACATAAAAAGGAATTCTGAAGAATGGTCATCATAATTATTTAGCATTATGACATCTTTATCAAATTACTGAGGTCATATACGAGTTGCATGTATTCATGTCCAAAATCGTGTCACTGCATATATGTCACACCTCTACTAACACTGAAAATAGATCCCAGATCGTTTAATGCAATTACTCACTTTATAGCAATACTTGATGGTTACCATGAAGATCCATGTGAAATTCCTCCGCACATTGGTTCACTGAACTTAAGGAATGAAAAGCTGGCTAATTAACAGAGTATATGCTTTTCTTCATTTCCTTTATCTGACAGCGGACATCACTAGCCTAATTAACAGAGGATAAATGTACATTTCATTCCAGATTGCATGCTAAGATTCATGGAAAGTAAGAATATGATCTGCACTAGCCTAGGTCATTCGGGTCTCAGATTGCATTCTAAAGTTCAATTTGGGTTACTTAATTCATGCCTTGAATTGTAGCTCTCAGTCTTAGTAAATCCAATTTCTTCCAGTAATGTTACAAGCTTACCCAATCTATTTTTTTAAAAAGCAGCTCTATGTGGCCTGCCGTTCCATTTGAATATATTTGCTCTTCAATTAACACTTTTGCCCCCACAATGATTTAAGCTTTCATATTCTGTCAGTAGACCACATTGGATCTGCAACTTTGCAATGTTAGATATATTGGTTATTTATACACAGCATTTTGCCATTTTCCTGCAGTTAATTTATTGAATTTATATATGTTTCCAAAATCAGTATTTGCAGTTCTGAACTCTAGTAAGCTTTTTATTTATTGTGTTTGATAACCCCACTGTTTTCACCATTGCATTTTGCATCATCACTCCCACTCTTCACGGTCTGCAATTGTATTTCTTGCAGCATGAAGCTGGTCATTTCCTAGTTGGTTACTTGCTTGGGGTTTTACCAAAAAGATATAAAGTACCTAGTGTGGAAGATCTAATGCAGGACAAGTTTGCTAAAGGAAATGTGGAATTTCTGGGCTTCGAGTTTCTAAGAGATGTAATTACACTCTTGTAACTTGCTATTTTATCTGCTGCTACTAATATTATGGCAATACTGAAGAGCTTCAAAATTTAGCTGAATAATTGTTTTTTATTTGTTTTATTCTGCCCTAATATATGATCAGACAATGCAAAAGAAAGCTAACATATATTATAGTACTGTGTGTTGTTGCTGGATCAATTCCTCGTAAAATTTTAAGCCATTACAGTGCGGTTATCTTTAATTTTATATGCAACATGGTTCCTCATAAGCAGACTTGGTTTCTTTTTCCAAATTGGGCCACACATGTGGAATTATCATAAAATTCTCTCTTCTATAAGTCTATGCTGCGGGGCAGGGGTGGGGTGATTTTAGTTATTCGTATTCAGTACGCACACATATTCATTTGGTCAATTGAGCTTTTTATAGAAGTTTATGAGAATTTCTATTGCATCGGTTATTTCTGCCATTTCTGCCAATCTCAATATAATAAACTGTGGCTGATGATGATGGCTTTAACTGTCAACGTGTAGAGTAACCTCATATCTTGTTGATCAACCATAGAAGTTCATGTGGTCAGGTTCGGCTACCTCCATGCATGTCAAAACTCTGAAATGTCATTCCATATAGATCTAGAGTATCCGAGTATGGTCATTGAATGCAAAGGCTTCATTTGTTTTTCGGCATTTGAGCTAAAAACACTTCAATTTCCGACTTCAAATCCCTATCTTTTGTTTCATATCTAACGTGACATAATACCTAAAGAATAAAATCAAATGTAGGGTTTAAACCACACCGAACTGAACCATGAGACTTTTACAAGAAACTGGGGCCTTACCTACCTTGACCATGTTTACCTTTCTCGTGCATCAATTTGTGCAGGTTTATATTGAAACCACGTCAAAAAAAATCTTTACCAAAGGAAAGCTGAGTAATGAGGTAAGGTTTCTTTTCAGTTACTGGTTCACGTTTCTATTGGAACTTCAATAGTTGAAACATATGAATTTTACACTTTCCATTGCATAGATATTATCTACTTCCATGGCAAAAATACAATGACTTAGGTTGACTAAATTACTAGCCCTGCCAAGTTGCCAACAGTGAATGTTCCTCAACTGTTAACTAGTTTCAGGGAAGAGATCAAAATAATAATCATTGCATCACGTAATGTGAGTTAATGCTTTAGGTCATGAATATATAGGTCGTGAAGAATTAATGCTCCAGGTCATGAATATATAGGTTTGATAAAAATACAATACCCATGGTCCCATGGTATAATATTAAACTCTCTTAAGAACTGTCCTTGGGTTTGCCTTGGCATTCATTTGCTTCATATCCTATTTTCATTTTCTAGAGTAGGAAATTGAAATTGCTCGAGGTAGAGAAATAGATTTATGTGATTTACATTATCTGGAGCTATATTTGTTAACCAACCATCTACTTTAAATTTTGTAAAACAGACATTTGCATAGAAAACTATTATGTGGGCATTATTATTATATTGATGTTTTTAAATGTGGAGTCCACCATTCAAATATGAAATCACTTTGCCAAAAAGGTACCATAGACCTAAAAGTCAACCAGGACATTTCATTTGAAATTGCGTAGCTTCTTTTTATCTGAACAATGCCGAGATTGCTGAGCCGGGGAAATTTTATTGCAATCCAATTAAAGCATGAGCAAGCTGTTGTTTGAAACCGGAATTTCTTACCATAAAGAATCGTAAGGGCAATAAATAATTCTACAATTTTTCCCCTGAGAATGTCGTGTTTTTTGTGAATATTGTTCGATATTATCTGGAAGGGTATATTAGCAGATTCTTAATATTTGGTGGTGGCACACTTCTCCTTTGACAGACTTTGAAAAAGTTTTTACGCGTGATACTTGGAGGCTTGGTCGCAGAACATCTGTTGTTTGGATACTCAGGGTTGCTACACTCTGATGTTGAGAAGGTCATTTTTTGCTTATTATGATGCAAAATCTCTATACAAGCATGATGGAGTGCTAACTGTTGGTTCATCTACTGTGAGACAGTTGGACAGGGTTCTCAAGTGGCTGGGCTTCGCAGAGAATGAAGCTGACTCTCTGGTCAGACAGGCTACTGCGGATACAATCTTGATATTAAGTCGTCATAATGAGTCAAGGTCGAGCCTAGCAGAGGCTATGGCTTTGGGAAGATCAGTTGGCTTTTGCATCGATACAATTGAGAGAACTTTGAACTTTGGAGAAGTTTAGTTATTAGCCCGTGTTTGGTGTCATTTTTTTTTAGAAAAACATTGTTATAAATAGTGATTTTTTGTAGAATGTGGTTAAAAAGTAGGAAACGTTTTGAATTTACGTGTAGAACATTTTATTGTGTGATTGAAAATGAGTACGTAGAAAAAAGAGTTTTAAAAGGATGAGAGACTAATAGGGGGTATTTTGGTTTGGCCGATGCTTTTAAATCGTTTGCTGTATTCAGTTTTGAAAAACTGTATGTCGGCTCTTTCGCTCAACCTATTCTGTTGTTGGAAAAGGAAAAAGAGATTGTCGTTTACTCTTAGCTCTTTCTTTTTAGGAAAGAGGGCGAAAGATAGGATATGATGGGAAAAAAACTTCTCAAGGATTAAATTGAATTTGAAAAGTCCATAGGTTGACTTTTAATTTGTAGACTGGTCAATGGTTGTCTTTTGACTTAAAGCGAATTGTGTACGGTGTTTTAAAAATCGGATTGGTCTGGTCGGATCAATCGGAACCAGCACCTAAATCGGTCCGATTAGAATTATAAAACCTCTAAAAAATTTTAAATGTATATTTTTTAAAATGTTGTAAATTTATATTTTTTATTTTTTTAAAAATCATCGGTTCGATCTCGGTTTAACCTTTTGATCTTTTGACCCTTTCTATTTTTCAGGTTGGTGGTTGTATCGGTTTTCAAAACATTGCTTGCGCCAGAGTTGCATCCATTCTTTCAAAATTTGTGATACAATTCTCACCTCTTCTTTCAAAATTCTTGAATTTCAATTTTTCATTTTCAAATTTTTTTATTAGACTTTCCTCCTACATACGCAGGACCTTAAAACTTGCATATTTTCCTTTTTTGTGTGATTTTAATTTTGTGAAATTGTTAAATAGATTAATCATAATTAAATTAATCAGTTCAAAGGCAGCTGTATATTTTCGAATCCAACGCGATACACAACCAAGTAGAGAAATTTAAAAGTCTCGATGAATTTTTATTATTCAAAATTCAAAACTATCATTTTTCTTTCATACAATATGTCGTCTTCCTCACATCCCCTGCGAGTGTGCTCTAGTTCCCATTCTTGTCCATTCCGAACCTCTCCCTTTGCCTTGCACATTCTCAATTCCCACTCTTGCATATTGTAGAGTCCACATTTGAGTCGACTTGACCATTTTAATAATAAAAGGTCGTTTTTAAAAATATTTAACCTAAAATAATGGCTTTCTTTAAATTAAAATATTTAAAAGTAATACTATTTTTCTCACCATGCACATGTCAAGAAGCTTGTTCACATGTGCCACGATGATCCTTGATAGATTCTCTCTCTCTATTTGCTACAAAACAACCAGTGCACGCACACATACGCACCTCGTAAGCATTACCACCCCACCGCCGGGACAAACCACCATAAACGCCGCCAAATTTACGGAATCACATGTATCCTTAAACACTACCGACAAACCAAACCACCTGCCCATAAAATCTCGTCCAAACGAAGAAAATCTTGTACTAAAATCCCAGAAAAAAAAACATGGAACATTTCAGATCAAAATCACACAATGGTGGAAGAATGCAAATGCAGAGTTATAACAAACCCAACTCAAACATGCAAGATTTCAGGTGTCACAGTATTGCCTCATATGAATCATCGCCCTCGGGTCCAAACAAAACGCGGATGAATAATAATGTCGCTGCTAAAGATCAATGGAAGTTCAAGAGAGGGAAGTCGACAAACGGGTCGGTTTTGAAGAACTGGAGTTTCAGTGACCCGGAGTTGCAGAGGAAGAAGAGGGTGGCTAGCTATAAGGTGTACACTGTTGAAGAGAAAGTGAAGGGATCTATTAAAAAGAGTTTTAAGTGGATTAAGGAGAGGTACACACAAGTAGTCTATGGCTAATCTTGAATTTGCTGTAATTGCTGCTTCGTTCTTGTATTTTATACTGTACATCTCTTTGCTTTGTTATAAGTTGCCCGCTTGTAATTTTTTTTCTCTCCCTTCAACCCACTCCCTCTTTTCTTTTTTCCTTTTTCTTGTTAACCATTCTC